TGTTTGCGGAGCCCGGTTGCGTGCACACGTTACAAGTTATTTGGTGACACTGCTGCTGCTGCGTTGGCACCATTAACAACAACACAACCCACTCCACACACTCGTCAACAATACTGCCTTAAACGAACAAAAATATAGAATCGTTGACGTTTCGGGCAACGGCCCTGTTTCATAGCAATGGCTCTTCTTGCTAGCTAGCACATTAAGGGCCATTGTTCAAAGCGTCGTCAATTACACATTTCTGAAGGCAGTGTTGTTGACGAGTGTGTATACGTCACAACTACACAAGTACACATACATTTCAAACAGCAGTTTACAAACAACATCATATATTGCGTATTATGTAAACAGTAGATAAACAGACACAAAGTAAAAAAAACACATTACTACTTTAGTCTATCGCCCTATTTGCCTGCCATCCATTTAATTTACCCCGTAGGCGTTTTTGTTTAAACTTACGAACCCCTGCGTCGGCGACCTTAGCGAATATGAGCGATCGCACGACACTTTTTCGAACATAATTATCACGGTTATATTCGTCCACGCAAAAAAAGAAGAAGAAACGCCTTCTTACGTGCATGGTAGCGCGGTGTCTCCGCTCCGGTGAGCGCACTTTGCATGGAACCTGGGGTAGCTGCGTTCGATCCCGGGGCCACGGCCAGCACCAGTGTCGAGTGATATCTGAACCGGTACCCCGGGTGCTGCTACTTCCTCTACACAATCAACCCGCCTACGGTGAAGCAGGTGGTGAAATAATAATCACCCGAAAGTAGACGGACAAGGGGTTCACCAAGCGGTGTGTTGAAGATTGTCGATACGCATTATTGCTAAAAGTGTCGTTGCGTGTTGTGAAGTCCGCTACTTCAGTGTGAAGCCTGCGCGACCTTTTGCACTGAGAACGTGATCAGTCGTCGCATTTCTATTTTCTGACATGCAGTACAGTATACACGTCGTTGTACTAATTCGCGCCGGTCGGTTCGGCATGGGTTGCAGAAAGAATCTAAACATTATTACCTCTTCGTCTATATACTGTGTATATATAGGCAAAAACAGAGATCCCCACATCGCCTTCACAGACTTTTGGAGCAAGTGCTGTTTAGCGAGTAGCACCTATGAAGGCCGGCACGGCACACGAAGGGTGGCCAACACCACGCCCGGCCGCCTTTGTCTCCCCAGTAGCGATGTTTACACACAACGCACCAGGTACTCATTTGAGGCTGAGTCGACCTAGGGGAGGCTCAGGACCGGTTGAGATAATCGTCACCGGTGTTGGCCGTGATCGGGAATCGAATTCGTCTCCGCAGGGTTTGTATAGCGCAGCGCTCAAACCACTACGCTACCGCTCCCCACCACTACTACTATATATATACACGATAAACACGTCGTACATATGAGACCAATAACACATGCCAGAATTGTGTCATATATCGTAATTGTGAAGGAAACAGTGCCTGTTGCGTTGTTGCTACATGAACATACACATTTAGTTATTATTGTGATTATGTAAAAAGTATAAAGTTGGTAACTTCATACGTCCGATTCAACATCAGAATATTCCAGTACTGTATATATACTTTTTTATATTTGTATTTAATTATTTTTCCTGACTTGCTTACCTCTTCTCTGTTTTGTTTGTTTGTGTATTGTATATCGCTGTAACTTGCTGACCCGCCCCTAGTGGGTATCTGTGAAAAAATATATTTTCATAGCTCATCGGATTCCTCCTGCAATCTTAATAGAGATTCTGATCATTGTCATAGCGTATTTCAATTAAAAAAAAGTACAATTTCTGAAAATATTACTGAAATAGCAAATTAATTTAACACAAAAACCCTATTTTGAGTCTCACGTTGTTGTGTATATCGTGTTTGCTATTAATGCAATGAAATCAACAATGCACCGTCTGTTTGCAAACCCACCGTGAGATGAAGGCGACAGACGCTGTGTGGGAGGGTTTATTTGACCATACTTCGCCACGCCTTGTCAATGCACCTCCGCATTAGCACGGTTGGATACGTACGGTGAGAAAGAAGTTTCAACATGCATACAGGTGTGCCACTGATCTCTCTGCCGTGATCGGTAGTCGCGCCTGTGCCGTCGGGATGGTCCGTCGTGTGGTGCGCTAACCACTGCGCCACCACTCGACCCGATTGCTCGCCTTGCTATTGCGTGCCACTATTTGGTTAAAAAAAGAAAAGTACACGATAACACTACGGCACTAATGTTGTTTAAATGCAAACATTACATTCTGCCAGATTTTTTGACACAAAAAATTTCGGCATTGCTAAATATATATAAATATATAATAAATATTAGCCAAGTCATTGCTAAATATTGTTCGCCTAACTGCGCTTTAAAATACTTAAAAGTAAAATATGAGAAAAATATATAACATTGTACTCGCCCTTAACTACACTCGCCTTGCAATAAAGATTACCTCTCTTTGATAACGCGTACCTTTGTTTGCAACGTATTCGTTACGTCAATTAGCGCGCCACGTGAACGCAAAAACCAGGCGCGGCAAAACTGCGCTTGCAACATTTGCCGACAGAGGGCGACGGTATTTCAGATTACAAATAATAACGATGCTACCTACGACCGTCGTTTTTGGATTTGTATAGGCGGCTAAAACGGCAGGAATCTCTTAGAGGCAGTACACAGGAACACATGATGTATATCAAATAATGCGGATGGAACTTTCCACGTTGATCTTGCGCGCATAGCAGTAAAACACTACGTTAACATGTATTTAAAAGTGCATGCAATTAATAAACAAGTATAACCCGTAAAAACAAAGTTTTTCACTATAAATCCTTTATATGCGTGGCGGCTAGAGTCCTCTCGTCCTCTGGCTTGAGATGGCTGCCACCTATGGGTCAGATGATTGCCTGCCACCATTAAGCGGTAATTAAATATTTAAAAAAAATCCTAAAATGTTGAACATTTTGGAAAAAATGTTTCACGAAAATAAATTGTCACGCACAACGAGTCTGTGTGCAAAATGTCATCTCGATTGGATCACGGGAAGTGGGTTAAAAAACGACCGAAAAATTTGCACGGTCGTAAGCGCGCAAGCAAGTGAACTTAATATAAAGGATTTAAAAAGCAGTAACACACACTATCGGACTGGACGTGGGACGACACAAACGTCCTGCAAGGGGTAACCTCTTTAACGGGTCGAGGCGACCTCACGTGCGCGTGCCATACCAGCGATGTAGCGACACAATCCTTGATGTTCTCATGCCGACGGGACTCAAATCAAATCGCGTGCGTTGCGTATTGATTATTTAAAATTCGTGTACGTCGCGTGCACAGCAACGATTCCACGCCAGAGGCGCGAACTCAACCCTAACTCTCATGGGCACCGAGGGAGGGCCGTTGCCCGAAGCGTCGCCTAGTTTATACATTTTCTTCGCGTCGAGATGTCTGTGTTTGTGCGTGTGCACCGCTGCCGACGTAGCATCGCCGACTAATGTAATTGTGAACTATTGTTTGTGTTTATTACACTGGTGGCGATGCACGCGGCCCGTAACTCAGCAATGTGGAGGCAGAAGCAAGGTTTGGTGGATCACCGCAGAGATGTTGAGAAACTTCCTTTCCCGTGGGGGGGGGGGGGGGGGGGGGGTGCCATACCCTGGCGCGCCAGGAGATGGCAGTAGAGCAAGTTGACTAATCCCCATCTGTGTCCATCTGTACGGGGATAGAGTGTTGCTCCCTTGCACGCGTGGGTTTACTCTGGGAGTTCCTCCGGTTTCGTACCACACGTGTATAACACTCAGTGATTGGCCGAAAACATCTTTAAATAAAAAAAATGCCAGACCCTGCTGAAAAAGAGTTATACGACTCTCCTGGATAAATAATAATAATTAGATGTGGTTAGAGCATGCAAATCACATTCGCAAATGTGAGAGTTAGAATCCCGGCTGGACTACTGGGGCAATTGCTGTTTAGTGAGCACTTATGAAGGCTGGCACGGCACACGAGGGAGTGGGTGGCCAACTCCACGCCCGACCGCCTTTGTCTCCCTAGTGCTGATGTTTACACAACACAACCGGTATTTATTGAAGGCCGAGTCTACCGAGGGGAGGCACAGAACCGGTTCAAATATTCGCCCGTTTATGTTCGTGAGCGTGATTCGAACTCGGGTTCGTAGCCGTTGTACGCTAACCACGATATCACAACGAATACTCCAAGAGTCTATTTCTATACATTGTGTACAACTTATATTGGAATTCAGGAGGCAGTTTATCCCGTGCGCGAATTCGTCCAATAGAAATTGGCCAACACTCAACACTGCCATCCGCTGGCGAAACCTCGCACACCCACGCCTATAACACGTAGCAAGCCCTCTGGTTGGTCACTATTCAAAGTTCTCACCAGGGTCAAGCCTTTGCTTCTGAGACGCGACGAGATGGACGCTATTTTAGGCGTGCGAGTAAATCGTGCGCCACAAACGATGTTGCCATATGCGGCGGTTTTAATGGACCGAAATCTCTCTCACAGGGCAATGCATGAGCATCAGACACGCGGGCAGCCTGATCACAGGAACAGGGTCACGTGACGCTCACGGGGGTTCTCGCCAGACATTCATCACTTAACCGGGCGCTCAGCAGTTCACCCGTTGAGACCACGACGGGTCACCACGGCACCACACTCAGACGGACTCACGCGTCCGTTGAAGGAATTTGAAACGGGAGCTCCAGCCACGGGGAAGGGTCATCGTAAATGCTGGAGCGCACACGCATCGCCGATGCCGCCGAGGTGAAATAACCGAGTCGAAAATAAAAGGAGTCGAATTGTTTATGCCATTTCAATGTCGTTTGCATGAACTACAAACCGTGCGTTTATTCAAATGACTCATTGTCTGTTTCAAATCGGTGGGCCACTCTCGGAGTCGTTAGGGGCCGTCCATAAATGACGTCACGCGATTTTGGACGATTTTTGACCCCCCCCTTTCGTCACAAAAAGTCAGACCCCCGTCAAATATGACGTCACAAGCTCTGCCCCCCCCCCCAAAAAAAAAATTAAACATGCTTCAAATCACTTTAATCTATTGTCATTGTAGTGCGTATTTAATGTGGCTCTGCACTCTGATGTAGGAGAAAACATTTATTAAAACGTCTATTTAATTAAGTAGAACGTGTTATCTATATTTATTTAAAGTTGTGCATTTTGATGCGACGTCACATTTTTCAAACCCCTCGTCACACATCGTCACAAATGTCTGACCCCCCCCCCCCCAGGTTCGTGACGTCATTTATGGACGGCCCCTTACCGGAGTAGTTATCTCTCTAACGTGGCACACTGCCGCTTTCCACGTCAGTGGGTGCTTACCTGGCCACAAATAAACGGACATTGAGCTATCAACCTACACACGGTGCATGTACTAACATGCGAGCATGGGCTGCTCCACGGAAGATGGGCCAACGCGCTCCGATGCTGTAGGGCTGCGAGAGATGGCCGCAGTGTCAGGAGACCATCCAGCAGTCGATAGATCGTGACTCGTGATGATGATGATGGCGCGTGATATCTGTCTTTACATTGTTTACAATGTGTTGCTGCTTTGCAAGAGAATTATGCCATGGATGGGTGATGATTGTGTATGCCTGGAAAGTGTTTACATTGAATGTGTTGGTGGCGATGAAAACGATCACGGTGGCAGTGGTGTTCACGGTGATGGTGGTGATGGTGCTGTTGTTGATGTGGTTGATGATGGTGGTGGAACATCGTGACATGTATTCGCACAATCTATGGAGTGTTTGCTTTACGCGATCATATATTGGATTGATGATGATGATACTGATGTGACTATCGCTTCTGATGATGCTATTGCTGCTACTGCTAATACTGTTACTGATAAAGTCACACATTACAGTACAATTCGAATTCGGATACATATCGTATCTACATCTAAATGTGCATGTCAAGATGCTGTACAGCAAAGTGAGCATGTGTATTAAGTGGCGAAAGGAAGGGGAAGGTCTTGAGCCTGGAATTCAACAGGGGAAGGAAGTCAGCAGCACGGATTGCTTTGGGAAGCGAGTTCCAGATTATGGAGCCATATGATAACACGCACACAAACGCGACACATACGGCGACAGATAATAACAGATTATGGGGGCATGTGATATTGCGCACACGCGTGCGACACATCACACATCTCGTCGCTCGCTCCACGTGCCCAAGAAGAGCGCCGACTGCGCCGTCTGGCACAGGTGCATGGCCACCTCTCCGCGCAGCCGCGACGCGTCCCGGGGGCCCCGCTTCCTCGGCAGCTCCATCACGCTCTCCCGAGCCGTGAAGTCTCGGGGCCCGCGGAGGCGAGAAGCTGGGACCCTTCGGCCACGACCCTGCAACGCGCGATGCACCGCTTCGGCCCTCCGACCACAACCACCGCCGCCGCCATTGTCGTCGTCCTCGTCGTCGTCGTCGCCGCGAACCTCGTCTCGTTCAGCCTCCTCCGCTACCCTGTCGAGCACGAACGTGCGGAACCGTCGCCGGCTGCCCGGACAGAGCTTTCCGCCAACGCGGCGGCGTTCGTTCCCAGGCTTGGACGTCGCCTCGTCGTCATCGTCGCCATCGTCGCCATCATCGCCGTCGTCGTCGGGCCACACGCCGGGCGCGCCCCCGGGCGGCCTCGCGATGTCCGTACGGGGGGCGCTGCTCGGGTTGGTGCTCACGTTCCAAGGCTCACGCGGGGTCAGGGTCGGGAGCGCGTCGGCGACCCCGCGAGCGGTCACGCTCCCCGTGCACAGGAGGTTGGTGCCCGGCTGGAGCCTCGTGCCGGTGATGCGGCCCGGCGCGTCCCGCGGTCGTCTCGCCGCCGGAGCCGTCGTCTCGGACAGCCCCCCGCCAGGCATTCCGACTCCCTGCCCCCCCCGCCGCTGCGGACCGCGTGCTCGCACGTGGCCCCCCCGGCGTCGGCAGGAGTCGGGGATCGGGGGCGCGAGTGGGGGGGCCGGGGGTGCGGGAAGTCGCTTGTCCTCCAGCCAGCCCAGGAAGGACATCGCGTTGACGAATTCGCGTTCATCCTGTGTGCGTGCGCGCGCACGGAGGGGAACGGCAGCGTAGTGGTTAGCACGCTGCGCCGCGAAAGCCGGTTCGATTCCTGTTCACGGCTACCACCGGTCCTGGGCCTCCCCTAGGTCGACTCAGCCTCAAATGGTTACCTGGTGCGGTGTGCAAACATCGCCACCGGGGAAACAGAGGCGGCTGGGCGTGGCGCTAGCCACCCAACCCCTCGTGTGCCATGATCAACAGATAGAGAGAAATAGTGTACGGTGAAAGACAGAGACACATCGAAAAGGAGAGAGGGCCTGATACACCGTGACAGAGAGACAAAATCACACAGACAGACTGAATTACAGAGACAGAAATGCAATCATATGAACAAAGACACAGAGAAGCAGACACAAACAACAATGGCAAGTTACTTCTACACGCAACAGAGTCCATGGGTGGCTCAGCTGGCTCCACAGTAACACATTCCTGCGGAGGGAGCTGGTAGGAACGTTGGGTTGCTCGGTCAATGGCCAGGGTCAACGGCGATGTGGTGTATTCCGCAAATATGGCTGACTGTGAGGGTGGGTACAGGCCGGCGTGAGTAGGTTAAACGTTGAGTTTTATAAGGGCACCACGGGGTGACCAGCCACTCCCCACCCAGCACCACCCCTCCCACCCCCCACCCAGCCCCACCCTCCCCACCCAGCTCCACCCTCCCCACCCAGCCCCTCCCCACCCTCCCTCCCCACCCAGCCCCTTCCTGCACGACGGACGGAGGGACACAATAATGCCCTGTGGGCTGGTGTAACCAGGAGGTTCCTACCAGTATAACTGGGTTCGAATCCAAGTTTCAGGCGCCACTGATGAAACCGGGTTCTCGGGTGTCATGCGTTGATGGTCTTAACCCAGTCACCAATTAATATACCGAAAAAAAGACGTCACATTAAATTGTGGTTTTTCATGGAATTCGGTTAATTTCCAGCTCTGAGAGTTCTAATGATCACTCTTTCCATCACGCGATGAACATTTCTCTGTCGAAGGGCACGTGTGGAATCACAGCTTGAAGGGATATCAAATGTAGTTCTGCAATATCTTCTCCTGCGTGCTGTTCTCGCTGTGACACACAGCTCTGTGAGAGTTCCTTACGGACAATTTACCTCATGGAACGACGCCAATAATACAACTATAGTACAAATGTGGGGAATTTTCCGTAGTAGTATAAATATATAAATTTAACATACCTATGGTGGTGCCCGGCCTATCCATCTAACAACCACTATTCACTTCCCATCAAGTCAGTAATTTCTCCGAGCGGTCAGCATATTCGCTTTAGCCACGCCGCAGGTATAATGGACCGTGGGGCCAAAACACCGGCTAATTAGGGGTACGACTCATTAAAGTGATTATGAAAGATCACCATTAATGAGCCGTGACTGATTTCTCAGGAAATCGCCGGTAGGCGTGTTCTGACCTCGCATTTGGCAAAGTGTCGCTTCTCCTCTGCCAGCAAGTGTCTTCCCATCTTCAGGAGCTCGACGTCCTCCGTGGCGGCCTCGTTCTTCTTGTCCATCCACATGACGCTGGCCAGGAGCCTGTCAACATCCAGGGCAAGCAGAGCCGTCGCCCGTCCTTTTAGCGTCGGCGATCGGCAGCGTCGGCAGGCAAGCAGGGTGGAGTTGTGCGGCACGGCGTGGTTGGCATGGGCCCCCCGTGCAAAGAATGTCGTGGAGACCCCTGTGCAAAATCTTTATTTTGACAACTTTTTTGTTGTTTGTGCTTTTTGTTTTTGTGCCATTTCTTAATTTGTTTATCCATTTTTTTTATTTTGCTTGGTAGCAGGGTTTTCATTTGCTTGGTGCGTATGTGCATGTGTGCGTTCAGCTTCTCTAGCACCGTGCGTAGTCAATTGCGTAAATGGGATTTGGTACTTTTATATAATTAACGTACAGCCTTGTGGGATGATGTTGCCGTGAAAGGCACTCTGTAAAGTGAAAGCATTGTTATTAATTTCCACCCTCCTCTTCATAACCAAGCGCCTGGGCCCCTCTGGCCTGTGGGTCTCTGCGCGGTTGCACCTCCGGCACGCCCTACAAAGGCCCTCTGAGGCTCTCTGCTTGGCAACAAACCACCCCCACCTGACCTCCCCCCCACCAGCTATCTCCACGGCCCTAGTGAGCCCCCCCCCCCACCCCGACTGCCCAACACCTCCCACGTGGCACCTGGTACATTTGCGGTGGCCCCACAGCCTCGCCAGTTCCACTGGCCGGTGCTGGCGAAGGTCGCGGGCCGAGGGGTCGGCTCCGGCTTCCAGCAGGGCCCGGACGCAGCCCAAGAGGCCCTCGCTGGAGGCCACGTGCAGCGGAGTCACCGAGTCCTCGTTGCACCTGGGCAGCAGAATTAATTTCGTCGGCACGTTTAACTTCAAGCCACAGTCTCAGTCACTGCTTGGTTTCATCTGCAACAGTTCGGAGCGGCGTTCCGGCATATACTTTTGTAGGCCACGTCCATCTTATCTTATTTTGCCCTCATGATAGCTGTGTTCTCCCCACAGGAATATAGGAATGCAGGCTGCAATAATATAGTATAACCTTGTACTCGAGTGGGAGTGCCTATGCCAATAATCCTAACTTCAAAACAGCCTAGCAGCAATCGAGCAAATATTGAGTGAGAAATTAAGCCCTGGATATATGGCATATGTGACGAAATCAAGACCATATGACATATTTCGCAAGAGTCAACCATTGTGTACCGGTGCCACAGCCCAAACCCTAAATATGAAAATCACTCACGGCAAAATGTATTGGATTAAAATAATGCCTACCTACGATGAGCTAATTGTATCTCAGCGCTGCCTGGCAAAGAAATAATCGGTCTCGTTGGGCTGTCGTGTTAAGAAAATGGGTCCACACTCACAACTCGTCCGAGGGGCTGACACACGTCGCTTAAGCGACTTTCCCAATTGCTAGCGATGGAGACTGTGGAAGATTTTTCATGAAAAAAATGTGATAAAAAAATCTGACGGAAAAAAAACGTTCGCCAAGCCTGCGAATCAGACCCATTGAGTTAAATGTAGAAAATTGTTTTACAATGTGCGCAGAGGACATCGCTAGGCAGCTATCTCCATACCGCAGTGCTTTCCGTGTCAACACGGCAAGGACAATCAACATCGCCATTGTCATAATCATTGTCCTCAAAACTTTACAATTTGTCTAGAGATAATTGCCATCTTGTACCATCACTGTCACCACCGTCGTCATCATAGGTTTGTATGAAAATTTAATATTTTAACACGATTAAATGAAGCATATGCAAAAATAAATGTCATCATAATCATCATCAACAATGATTCACCACCACCGTCATCTGCACAACTATCATCATTAACACTATGAGCACTACATCACTTCATCACCACTACAACGTCATGATTATCTTCATCAGCATCATCTCCACCACGACTACCACCACCAGGACCATCATCATCACCTCCGTCACCATTGTCACCACTACCATCACCATCCTTACAACCATCAAAGACAATATAAAGATCCCCCATATAGCCTTGAGGCAAGTGCTCTTAGCGAGCACTTATTAAGGCTGGCATGACAAGCAACGGGGTGGGTTTGCCAGCACCAAGCCCGGCCGCCTTTGTCTCCCCAATGCTGTTTACGCACTGCACCAGGTACTCACTTAAGGCTGAGTCGACCTAGTGGAGACCCAGCATCGGTTCAGATATTTGTTACTGGTATTAGCCGTGAGCTGGAATCGAACTCAGGTCACCGGGTTCATGGCTTCACCATCATCACATTCCACCGCAACCATCATTCTCAATGTGAACACCATTACCACCTCCACCACCATCACATCGACCATCATCATCCTCATATCTCAACACTGCAATCACCACCATCATTATAATCACAACCACCACACCACAATCAGCAACACCACCACCACTACACAATGAACGCCTTCTCCATGCATCCATCCACTCATCCACACAGCTACAGCAGCAAATCGGTCTGGAAAGCTCTTCTTTCCGATATTAGGAAGCTACTGGAGTCAGAGCCGGCCCTAGACCTTTGGGGGCCCTAAGCAAAATTTGGTTGGAGGCCCTTTTGATGTATGATTTTTTTCACCCACGAGCTAGCAGTGACTCTAGGGGGCCCTCTGCTGGCCACGGGGCCCTTTGCAATTGCAAGGGTCGCTTAGTGGCTGAGCCGGCTCTGACTGGAGCTATGCACTTGCAGATTTAAAACAAATTGACTTCGAACTGCTTTATGTGTTTAGTTTGTTGTCCTTCCCCTGCACATCGGATTAGCATGGTTGAATATGTACCGTGTGATATAAGTTCAACATACATACAACTGAGTGGGCTTTATCTAGTAAAATAAAACATAGTTTAGTTTATGTTATTGGTTCTTTCGGTAAAGTCACGTAGAAGGGAAATAAAATAATAATATAAATATATCATTTTATTGGTTTATATTTATATTATTATTTCCCTTCAACGTGACTTCACCGAAAGAACCAAGAATATGAATCCCGGCAGTCACGAAAGCTTTCAATCAAAACATAGTTTAGTTCAATTATTTGTTTTACTATACGTTGCGTTTATATCGTTTGTCACGTTCTGAACCCGCCCCTAACTGGACATCCGTGAAAAAAAAAGAGATTCATATCGCTCATCGGATTCCTCCAAGCGCAAACACAAAAACACACTCCGACTCCGAGGTCCTCGACTCACGCGTTCACGCGGGCTCCTCTCGCGAGCAGGTAGCGCACGCACACCAGGGCGCGCCTGCCGCCGCGGCGCGCGTTGCACGCCAGGTGCAGGGCCCTCCACCCCGTGGCGGTCGCCAGCTCCACCTCGACTCCGTGGCGCTCGAGCAGCCGGCGCAGGCAGCCCAGGCGGCAGTGCAGCGCCGCCACGTGCAGCGCCGTGAGGCCCTGCGACGTCGGGGGAGGGGGGGGGTTATGGGATCGAAAACGATACTAGAATCAGACTTTCGATTTAAAGCTTTCGTGTCTGCAGGGATTCATCTTCTTGGTTCTTTCGGTGAAGTCACGTAGAATGGAAATAATAATAAAATAATAAAAATAAAACACAATAAAATAATTCTCACGACGTTTCGGCCACAACGCAAGCAGCCGTCCTCAGGTGAAGAACAGGTCTGTCGATAAGACAGAGTCAGAATGACACGTCCTGGGCTTGGAGCGTCTATTTAAGCTGGGAGGGAGGAGGAAGAGCGCCTTGACAAAATAATTTGCATATCAAGAGGAATTTTAGCATATTTATGTAATATTACACTATGTATTGGGTAGCATATTTATGTAATATTACACTATGTATTGGGTATTATTCTACCCAATACATAGTGTAATATTACATAAATATGCTAAATATGCTAACATTCCTCTTGATATGCAAATCATTTTGTCAAGGCGCTCTTCCTCCTCCCTCCCAGCTTAAATAGACGCTCCAAGCCCAGGACGTGTCATTCAGACTCTGTCTTATCGACAGATCTGTTCTTCACCTGAGGACGGCTAGAATCAGACTATTTAGCGTTGGGATCGGATGATCTTTGAAGCTTTATTTTTTCCCCCCACAGATATCCAGTAGGGGCGGGTAAGGACGTGACGACAACAGACAGTACAATAGCACGATTGTCGCGCAAGGTACAGGACAGGTAAACAAATCACCCCACAAACACACAAGTAGAATTCTGGATTTGAAGTTTCCATGACTGCAAGGATCCATACTCTTTGGTTCTTTCGGTAAAGTCACGTAGGCATGAAATAGCACTCCCCCCCCTCTATCTCTCCTCCCTGGCTCCTCCCCCTTCTCTTACCTATATAGTCTCTTGTTTACAGCAGCTCTTTTGCCCACTTCAGCAATTGTTTCTTGCTGTGGTTTGTCCCACCTGATGACGGGCACTTTGTGTTGCGCAAGAAAAAACGTCGTCATTTAATTTATTTAATATTTTATGCCTACGTGACTTTACCGAAAGAACCAAAGAGTATACAAGCAGAACTAAACCACCCCCATCCTACCAGGCAAAACCCACTGAGGTAGTACCATACCGTTAGAACGGCGACAAAAAGAATTCCAAACGCAGTCGCACCGCTACCGCAAGGGATCAATCCACCTGTATGGAGCCAGAGAGCTGTGGTATTGATGAATCCACCTGTATGGAGCCAGAGAGCTGTGGTATTGATGAATCCACCTGTATGGAGTCAGAGAGCTGTGGTATTGATGAATCCACTTGTATGGAGCCAGAGAGCTGTGGTATTGATGAATCCACCTGTATGGAGCCAGAGAGCTGTCGTATTGATGAATCCACCTGTATGGAGCCAGAGAGCTGTGGTATTGATGAATCCACCTGTATGGAGCCAAAGAGCTGTGGTATTGATGAATCCACCTGTATGGAGCCAGAGAGCTGTGGTATTGATGAATCCACCTGTATGGAGCCAGAGAGCTGTGGTATTGATGAATCCACCTGTATGGAGCCAGAGAGCTGTCGTATTGATGATGTACGAACGACATACGACTTTGACCAACATATTTTCCTTTCTGTATGAACTTTGAGAAATGTCTGAACTCTCTTCCCGTGCTTGTGATGCTTCGGCTTAAGAGATTGGAATATTTTTTTTGTAAATTGAAGAAATTGTATGCAGTGCACATTTTCTCAGGCTTGTTCCGTCCTTTGGCTGCCAATCCACAATTAGTCTCGACCACCGGCCATCACCCCCGGCCAGAGTCCACTTTTGTCAAACTTTCTTTATTCAGCCCCTCGTGTTGAACGTGTGTGTGTGTATATTAAACGAGGTGGGGGTTACTGCCAGCAGGAGCAAATAAACAGGACATATTGTGAGACACCGTAGGGCTCGCTGCCCTCAACATGCACAGACGGAGTAATTCTTCTGAGTGTCCTGACAAATCTCGTTGCTGCTTCAATTTTCCTGCCTCATTTCTCTAATGACCAATTAGCCCGAGAACATGAAATAATTGGTCCACATGGTGGATGCGGCGTGTGTGGTAAATATTCCACAAAGACCTCTGCCATGTGACCCGAACAAAGGCACGTGACACGTAACACCCGTAGGACCATTTACATTTGGACCTGGATTTTTTTTTTATACGAATAAATCCTCTCTCGCTACCGCAGCTCCCGTTCAGACCTGCAGCGTCCGTACGTCCATCATCATCATCATCAGCCGAGATCAATCCACTGCTGTAGGCCTCTCCACATCGTGGCCATCCTTGACGGTCCCACGATATAACAATCCACCCAGCACCTGTACATCATCTCGTCGCTCCATCTCCACGATGTACGTCCTACGAAGCGCGTTCCCTCATTTGAATACCACTCCATCGTCATGCTCGCCCACTGGACGTGTCCTACCCACAACCCCCTTACTTTTCTTCACAGTCAACATGTCTTTAACATTATTGTATTCTAAAATCCCCACGTTCCTCTATCTCCCAGTGCAATATTAAGCCTGTGTCTCTCCATACGTCTTTGTGGAGCCCTGATTTTTTTCCCCTCCCATCTTTGTCAGTGTCCATGTTTCTGATTTATATTTCATAGCAGGTGAATACTCACTGATTACATCAATAGCAAACATGGCATATTTATCTTCCATCCATTACGATGGAATTGAGCAGTGGTACAGCAGTTAGTGACTGGTGCTTGTTGCGCCCGTGTTGAGACAACGCTTTTGTACGTGCCCGCATTATGTAAGTGGCACGTGGTTTTTTGTGTTTTAGTTTCATTATCGTGCTTTCATCGTCACCCCAGATCTCCCCTTGGAAAATAATACTTTTGGTCTCAATTGGTTCTCTGGTTCTCCCCGGGGCTATTAAAGAGGCGACATGAATGTACGGGCATTCAGCAGCGGACATTTGAGGCGGTTCACACCGATAAAGCTCGAGAGACGAAGCGTGTCAGATTTTTTTTGGGGTGAGGGGGGGTCACACTGCATGGGTTCAACCCTTAAATAAATAAATGTGTGGCCGTGCCGCGTTGGAGCAGTATTGTTAACGCGTTACCCAGGTAACGTCCACAAAACACACGGCATGGTTACGCTACGCGGCTCACGGCAAAGCTGTTTCAGACAAAACTTTCATTGCCATAGCTATGGGCATTCGCGGCCGGCCATTAATGGACAAAGCAGCAAATGGGAAGAGGGGGAGGGGGGCGATGCAGCCAGCTGCGAGCGGTACCTGACTTAATCGCACTCTCACGACACAATGCGTAAGGGGAGGCAATTCGAGTCATTTAATCCCACCGTCATTACCATCGACCATGGTCAACCAGCGGCTGGACGAAGGCCTCGCCAAAGCCAGAGCAAATCACTCGTGATAGTGCCCCCCTCCAGTCTGATTACATTCAGCGGGAGTTGGTGGTCCTTCTTCTTGGTTCTTAATTCTCACGACGTTTCGGCCACAACGCAAGCAGCCGTCTGCTTGCGTTGTGGCCGAAACGTCGTGAGAATTATTTTATTATGTTTTATTTTTATTATTGACCTTACCGAAAGAACCAAGAAGATGAATCCCTGCAGCCACGAAAGCTTTAAATCGAAAGCTGGTGGTCCTTTTAACAGGAGGCGCCAGGATGATCCACGGGACAAACGGGAAAGGCAGCCACGGCGGTGAGCCGGCGACAAATCCCTTCCCCCACGAGCTCCTCTGCCTTCCTCTCGATATGTTAAGATGTGTTCAGCCGCCACTTAATGCGTGCTTGCAGGTTTTGAGGAAACCGGGAGAAGCCCGGAGAAAATCCACGTGCGTGACGAGGTAACACAGCAACCCTCTACAAATGGAACAGGCGGAGTCCACGTTTGCAAAGCCCAACTTTGGAATTCTCTCCCCCCATGGACTTCGTATTCTCTTGTTCAATTCAATAAACATATTGACAGTCATCTGTCACCACATTCTCTGGAATATAAGATGTTCTGAAAAGTCAGATGCACCCCAAACTTTTGTGCTGTGTCAATAAAGGTACATTATACAAATCTGGTCAACAAAGATAAAGATCCCCCATATAGGTTTAACCTACTGTTGGAGCAAGTACTATTAGTGAGTACCTATGAAGGCCGGGCCACGACGAGGGGGTGATGTGGCCAGTATCACGCCCGGTCGCCTTTGTCTCCCGAGTGGCGATGTTTACGCACCGCACCAGGTACTCATTTGAGGCTAAGTCAACTTCGAGGAGGCCCAGGTCAGATATTCGTCACTGGTGTTGGCCGTCAGCGGGAATCTAAATCGGGTGGCCCAGGTTCGTAGCGCAGCGCACTAACCGCTACACTACCGCTTCCACACACACGCATGCACACACACCGTCATCATTATCAACCACCATTAGCAATCATCTTCCAAGTCATCGTCACACGCATACACACACACCTACCTGATTATAAGACGCACCCCAAATAACGCTTAACAATGCAGGTGGGAAGAATGCGGCTTATAATCCGAAGAATTCGGTACACCTCCAACAGCGATGCGTGGTCACTTGGCCGCTTGGCGTGCTGGGCCTGTGATCAGCACCCGCGATGTGAAACCCAAACAGCGCGTAACAAAATGCCCTCCATCCACTTGGTGGTCTCCTGAGCTTGGTCTGCTGATGTGCAACGTGCGGTGGTGGTGGTGGCGGTGGCTGACGTGGTGGGACCTCTTACGTGTCCGTCCTCCCGAAGAAGCGACCCGGCCTTCGCGAGGCTCAGCTCCATCCACGCCACGTCTCCCACCGCGGCCGCCAGGAGCTCGTCCGGTGGAGGAGGAGAAGCCCCGACCGTCGGGCCGGGCCATGACCCTGAGCCGGGAGTCCAACTAGACCCGGGGCCCAGGGGCCGCGAGAGGAAGGCCGACATCTGTAGCTGCGCGGCGGCGTTAGTCGGGAACCTGCGCCAACTCAAGCTGCACAGGCAACAACAATGTCACGTCCACGAGGCTGCCTTCGCAACTTCTCGCAATCTTCAGCAAAACGTCGAATATTGACTCTGCCTAACCACAGTACATCGTGCACCAATGATATATGTATGCACCGTATGTTGAACTTCTTTCGCGCCGTACGTAGCCAACCGTGCTAATCGGAGGTGCCATCGAGCCGGTGGCGCAATGCTTCAGACACGACGCAATGAACCTCGGCCGCCCGAGTTCGATTTCCGGCCGCGGTTCACATCAGTGGCGAGTGACCGGTCCTGCCGTCACTTCACCAGCCTACACTGATGCCCAGCGTGGTGAAGTATGGTCAAACAACCCTCCCCCACCATGACCGACACGACGCAGGGAGGCCTTCAATCCGGCAGCGCGTTGACAAAGGTCTGCCGAGTATTACGATGGAACAACAAATGCTGTCGTCAACGTAAGATTACATCTTGCACTTCGTGCCGCCTGCCTTAAGCCTACGGCCACAATTGTGACATTCGACACGCCGTCTATTACTCCGGATCCCCGTAATCCCCCCAAAAACGTCCCACTCCCGAGTAAATCTTAACGATGGATGTGTATTTCCACACAGCCCACAAGGCGCCAAGCAAAATACGAAAGCCTTCATTTGACCGTGAGTTGATATAGACGAGTAACAGCACCGACTTGAATGTTAGCTGTCCGGGAGAGAGAAGTACGGTTACTGTTATTGTTCCTGCGGACAAAATTCTGCCTCCGACCCACCCCGGCGCACTTGAAGCAGATCCATCCCGGCACTGGGACGTGAGTATCAACAAAACCGGTCGTCAAGGAACAGGCGTCACCACTCGCACCCACACGCACGCACGCGCGTGTGTGCGGGTGTGTGTGTGTGTGTGCGAGTGTGTGTGTGTGTGTGCGTGTGTGTGTGCGCGTGTGTGTGTGTGTGTGCGCGTGTGTGTGTGTGCGCGTGTGTGTGCGGGTGTGTGTGTGTGCGCGTGCGTGCGCGTGTGTGTGTGTGCGCGTGTGTGTGTGTGTGTGCGCGTGTGTGTGCGTGTGTGTGTGTGTGCGGGTGTGTGTGTGTGCGTGCGTGTGTGTGTGTGTGTGTGCGCGTGTGTGTGTGTGCGCGTGTGTGTGCGGGTGTGTGTGTGTGCGTGCGTGTGTGTGTGTGTGTGTGCGCGTGTGTGTGTGTGTGTGCGCGTGTGTGTGCGTGTGTGTGTGTGTGCGCGTGCGTGCGCGTGTGTGTGTGCGCGTGTGTGTGTGTGCGCGTGCGTGCGCGCTATCGTGAACGCCAGACGTGAGGAATGTGCCCGCGTCAACAAAAGGGCCTCCTCCTCTTCCTCCTCCTCATCATCGTCCGTGGTGCATTGGGCCTGGCTTGCATTGCCCCGGACGACGGGGAATACGTGAATGGCGGGGGCGGGCGGGTTGCTGAGAATAATCCACGTTAATTACTGTGCCGGGTGAAGGAAGAGCAAATGATGACGGGTTCCTAGCGCGCACCATAAGTATGGGAAGAATGCCGAGTGCGGAACGATAGGTGGCTATTAAGCAGCAAAGGGGCTCAAGTTTTAGTCTCGACCGGGGCTAATGTCATCATTAGGGAGCGAGTGATATCTAAACCTGGCCTGGATCCCCTTCCCACACCAAACTCGCACGAACTAGTGTGGTGAATATTCTTGGGTTTTTTCGGTAAAGTCACGATTGTGACTTTACCGAAAAAACCCAAGAATATGAATCCTTGTAGTCACGAAAGCTTCAAATCTAGAATTAGTGTGGCGAAGTGTGTTATGACGCCTCTCGCACGCACACACAGATCCCCCGTGTAGCCTTAACAGACTATTGGGGCAAGTGCTGTTAGTGAGCGCCTATGAAGGCCGGAACAGGACACGAGGGGGGGGGGGGTGGTCAGTACCACGCCCGACCGCCTTTGTCTCCCCAGTTGCGATGCTTTTTTACACACCGCAACAGGTACTCATTTGCGGCTGAGTCGACACACAGACACACATAACCCTTGCACACTCACGCACGCACACACACGCAGTTACACCCTCACACAGCCCGTCCTACACACAGGGTTGTCCTCCCCAACGCCTCAGCGCCCTTCTCTCAGCTATCGCCCCCTTACTGGTCATTGGCTCCACCTCTCCTCTTCTCTGTTGGTCACTCTCAACACTCACCAGACACCCGACGCGATTGCCCTCTAACAGTCACCAGATACTCAACACTCACCAGACACCACTGCCAGTCACACACCAGGCATTCACCTGGCATCTGACTCTCACCAGACACCCTCGCCAGCCACCTCATCAACCCCATGACACCACCACTCACCATTCATCCACCCGACCCTCACCGGACGCACCTGACACCTCGCCACTCGGTAGGCACTCAAAAGGCACTCGGCTGACACTCACCAGAAAACATCACCCTCCTGAAACTCGGCAGACATCACCGACCACTCACCTGACACCAAGGCCGTAATTATAATATATTGTGGGGAGGACACATCCCCCCCCCCCAATATTCAAATATGCTCAAAATGTCCCCATTAATATATTGCTATAAAATAGATTTTTGTTTATATGATTGTGGTTATGGTTGTACTTTATTAATCCCTAATCTCTGCCATGACATACAATGAAACAAGAAATGGTAAAAAAGAAAGAAAACAGAGCAATATAATACAATACACTATTAAACATTATTGTAAAACATAAATAAAAAGTCCATCCTATGTGTTCGTGAACTTTAAAAAAAAATATTTTAGGCAGGAAATGACAGGAAATGAGTTTTCAAATTTAGATTTTTTTTCCGGGGGGGGGGGGGGGGACCCCCACACCCCCTGGAAGATTTGGTCCTCCCCAATGTCGACTCCATGGCTAGGGCCTTGCCTGACACTCACCAGCCACCAGACGCAACGATCACACACACTCACCACACCACCAACACACCAATGACAAATCAAGAATTTGTACCGCTACACTACACCCCACGCCACTATACCACTACTTGAAGAGACGACACTATCAGAGCACACACTCCACCAATGCTGTTCACTACTACACCGTTACACGGAACCACTTGAACACGATGCCACACGATTACACCACTAAACTACACCTCCCCGCCCCCCTCATTCACTCACTCACTCCTCCCACATACACTTACTCATGCCTCGCAGTCATTAACTTACTCAGTGCGCTCTCAATCATCTCTCTTCTACTCACACATTTGCTCATTCGCACACACTGTGGGTCTCACGGACAGCAGCAAAACATTTGATTTTGCAATGCACGTAGGGGTCGTTTTAATTGTCCAACTCTTGAGTTTGACAGTGCTAGTACACATTCGCACAATCGCGAAACGTCTGTTTTATTCGTTCCATCATTTCATTCCACCCTCATTCAATCACTCACAACTTCTCGTTCTTACCTCGTTGAACCACCCGGGCTCCCTGATGCTTCTCATCTGACGCCCTGGACCAGCCGTTGCCAGGGACTTCTGTTGCTAGGGACTTCTGTTGCTAGGGACTTCTGTTGCCAGGGACTTCTGTTGCCAGGGACTTCTGTTGCTAGGTACTTCTGTTGCTAGAGATGCCGTTGCTAGGCCGACGGTTGGTCCTCGCGGCGAGCGGAGAAACGTTTTATTTTGTAGTGCACATAACCATGTTAAGCTTCAGGGTTTTTGAATTATGTAGTCCACGTAAGCAGGTTTTTTTTAGTTTCGCGCTCATAACTCGAAAAGGAAATGCCGTGGAGAGAAAAAAAACGCGTCTTTGTACGGACATCTGCAGACGACGGGCTTTCGATAGTTACCGTAGCTTAAAAATGTTTTGATTTGTATGAGGTTTATTCAAAGTGGTACATGCACACAGACATGCACACACATAGACAATGGAATAATCATACACAATGCATAGATATAAACAAAGGCAGAAAAGTGCGCAGATAAGCACGTAATCACTCTGTGAGAGGAAGAGGAGGAACACGTGCATCAGGGACTGTTCGGGAAACTAACACACGCCAATAATTGGCATCGTCGTGGAGAATATAAGTAACAAAATAGATAATCCACTTCCTTGCCATATTGTTCTCCCCACATAAGAAAATATTTGTGTGTACATCCCATCAGCTGCGAATGTGCATTTCTTCAGCAGCAATTGACTCAATGTTGGGCCAGGACGCGTCGGGGCCGATCGCAGGGAGAGATCGATAGCCGATGGTCGAGATGGGGCACGGAATGGCAGGCAAAGGAAAGGAGGAGCGTGGCTCCAGAGAGGACGACCACGACGGAGAATGAGTAATCGATTCAATATCCTTGTTGGCAAGCATGCTCTGCCACTGCTGACAGCTGTGTTTTGGAGAATTTAATGTTCCTTTGGTGTTCTTTCAGTCTTACGATAATGTTACGTCCCGTCTGTCCAATATAACACTTACTGCATAAGCAATTGCTCCGATATACACCTTCTGTTGGTAGCTTCGGTAATTAATCTTTAGAACAAGACACTAGTTTTTCAATTTTGTGTACCGTACCACATCTCATTTTAATGTTTTGCTTTTGCAAAACACGGGCTAATTTATCAGGAACTCCCGAGATATATGGTATTTTAATTTTTTGATAATCTGATCACTTTCAGCAGTATTGTTTTCGGTCTTGGTTTGGCATTCAATGCTCTGTTAATTTGAGCATTATTGTAGCCATTCAGTCGTAGTGCTTCTTTAATATTCAGGAAGGGGAGTGTGTTGTTCACATCCATTCCCATGGTAAACTGAATGGCTGGGTTTTGTGCATTGAGATGATTTAAAAATGTATTAAATCTATTTTCCCATGTGGCCAGACAACCAAAGTGCCATCGACATATCTAAGCCAAAAATATGGTTTTAATGTACTTGAGGCAAGTGCTCTTGTTTCAAAGTTTTCCATGTTCAGATTTGCTATAACAGGAGACAAAGGAGAGCCCATTGCTGCTCCTTCCTTCTGTTTAAAGAAGTCACCTCTCCATAAGAAAAACGTGTTATTTAGATGAATTGTGAAATCATCAGGACCATGAGTAATGGGGTCAGTTCGCCGCGTGGAGTAGAAACATGAAATTGTGAAATCATCAGGACGATGAGCAATGAGATTAGTTAGCGTGCAGAACAGAGATGAATTGTGAAATCATCAGGACCGTGAGTAATGGGATCAGTTTACGTGCAGGAGAAAGATACAATTGTGAAATCATCAGGACCATGAGCGATGAGATCAGTTAGCGTGCATAAAAAATAAAAAATTGTGATATCATCAGGACAATGAGCAATGGCGACAGATTGAGGACGACTTAATCCGATATGGACCTCAGCTGATGATGATGATTATAGGCAAACAGCTTAACCGTATTCCGTTTAGATATTTTGTCACAAATTTGACAGGTGTCGGATAACCAGCAGTGAATGGGCGAGGCACCTTCATCCACCCACCCACACACATCCCATACCCTCCCACCCCATCCACCCCCTTAACTCCTTGTCAATTAAGTGGGACACTGCTAACCTGATTTAAATTATCAACGCCTTCTGCGGACAAGTCGGTGTCTGCTTTCAGTCCTTTGTTTGAGCACGATCTCCTGGTGTGCATGCAGTGTTCTCCAGCTACTCCAGTTCCTTCGAACGTGTAAAACTAACCGAAGACGAATTTGTCAAACATGTCAAGAAGGACCCTCTGAGAGAGATGACTTGTATATTATATTGATAGTCAATAAGTGTTTACACTGTGAGACCTCCTTTACCAGTGGAAAAATATACTAGTAGGTTTTCACCCTTTCAACTAGTACAACACTGACACCTTATACAAGGGATCGTGTTTGCAATAACTGCAACACAAGCAGTCAAAATACAAACAAAAAGAAACAACTCTGATAATGATATGCACTGTCCTTGAAATTGATTGGTCCACACCCGAGACAGCTTTTCTTAGAGCCTAGTCTCCATTGGTGTTGGACCAGATGACACCAAAATGCGTATTTGTACGCCTTATTGCAAACATGATCCCTTGTGTATAAAGGTGTCAGTTTTGTACCAGTTGAAAGGGTAAAAACCTACTACTAGTCAATAAGTGTGTTTTGTTGAACTGGATATCAACAATAGGTCGCGTCCAAGTGGACATTCACCGATGAGATGGAGCGATGAACTCTGCTGACGTCAAGATGCCGGGTGGATTCTATGTATGTTGAACTTCTTTTGCACCGTACGTAGCCAACCGTGCTAATCGGAGGTGCGGGGAAGGACAACAAACTAAAACACATGCGGTTCTAAAGAAATTCGTTTTCAATCTAGATTTAAAAGTGCATAGCTCTAGTGGCTTCCAAATGCTGGAAGAAAGCGCGTTCCAGACGGCCGCAGAAGCGTATCTGAAAGCGTGCGATGCGGTGAACGTCTTTGTTCGATGGCCAGCCAAAAGCCGCTGCGAGGATGACCTGAGTTTGCGTGATGGTTTATGCTCTTGACGAGATCAGCATCGCTGGATCACGGGAGATGGTGACAAGGGGCGGCTTTCACCCAGCAGTTGATCAAGCTTGGCTGATACGTGGATTTTATTTTATCAATGTCTATGATGTACCTCCTATTTCTAAAACACAAAAGTCAAGCGGAAATCACCGAAGTGGACCATGTGCTATGTCGTAGACATTAAAGACCACGTGATATCATTCATCATCGAGTCCCCGTATCATAGCCTAGTGTGGAGAAGTAGGCCAGCCACTCCATAGGGCTCCCTCGAGTTGAAGCCCTTCCGACAGCCAGTAATTGCAGGGCTGCACCTTTACCTTTTTACCACAGCCTACATCCCTACATCTTAAAGAAATTGCGACTTCAAAATAAGACCTATCCACATGAATAGCCACTCGCGAAAAATGTCGCCACTCTTCCATTTGCCTCTTCCCCCGTGTTCCAGACGCACACATCTGAAGAAGCGCCCGGTCATCTGTTTAGACCACAACCAGTGGCTGGGTTTCGTAGCACGGCGCCCGCTTTGTTGTCAAAAGAACGCAAATCATCCCCACGCGCCCCACGTATTGAAGGACCGTAATGCATTTCCCCCCCCTCCACCCCCCGCTTCTGGACCGTGTTGGCCACTTCCAACAATCACGAAGGGACACGCGCAAATTGAGCATGGCGGAGCTTCGGGTGTTTTGTGTTATCGCGAAAATTACTTTCGTTGTACCCTTTGCGGCGCTCGCTCGCGGAAACCTTAGCTTCCCCTCGAGTGTGTGTGGGTGTGTTGGGGGGGGGGTGTTAGTTGCTTTGGCTCCCAACCGTTTCGATTGGACATGAAAACCTTCCGCGTTAAATTAGTACGGATGCTGCGGGATCGTCGGGGGAGCCGGTGGTTGCGGCGGTTAGCGCACTGCGCCATGAACCATGCAATATGTGAGGTTTCAAGTGCAGAAAAGTTGATGGTCTCGTCGAATTTAATTCGGTTCAACAACTCGTTCTGGCTTGGCTCTCCAACACACCCGTGTGCTGTACTCGTGACGAATTGGCCACGTTCTGTTTACGTGACAACCCTTACTAGTTGGCTGTGTCGGGTGGTGGCGGGTTTTTAACGACACATTTATATATTTAAGCGTTCTAACCCCCCCCCCCCCAAAAAAAAAACCTCTATTATCAATTTGGCTAAATGCCATAGGTGTGACTACAGGCGGACCAGCGGTCACTTGAATGGATCTCAGAAGTAGCTCTACGGGTTTTGCTTCAATGGACTCGATTCTTTATCGCAGGACACCCGAGAGCACAATCGGAATGAAATTGAGAGGGAGAAAAACGTCGTTCAATAAAGCACTCGTGCATAAACGGTCTTGCGTTTTTTATTTAAATATATCCGAACTCTGAATCACCGCTGTTGCTGCTGATGCTGGATGGCATGCAGGGCAACATACGAGGAGACATCCGCATACGTTTGAACTGTGTACATTGTGAAACTGCACCCACATGTTGAACTGTGCCTCGAAGCACAATGGGAGATAATAATGCACTGCCATAGGACGGAACTTACGTTTTTCTTTCTGATCGCAATTCATTGAAAAGGGGAGCTTGACACTTCTACGTTGGCCTTGCATCTTTGGCAAACGAGATGCTGAAGAGGTGTGTTGCTGGTCTGTGCACGGGTCTGTTTACGTCAAATTTATAGGCTGCGTGTATTTGTTATGTTGGGGAGGTGATGTTGCTGGAGGTGATGTCGGCTATCACCAGGGTCCAGCACGAATGCACCTCTCACTCACGTTGACTCGAAAAGCAACCGCCTGAAATGTTTGTAGAATATTTGTCTTCTTGTATATATTGTTTCATCAACAGAGGACATTAATGCGGACATTTGTATATATGTTCCATACATGCAGAATGCGAATCAAAATATTTTTGAACAGGGGACATTTAAAGTAATCACAGGCACAATGCACACAACCCTCCTAAGATGACCCAACTTCTCCATTCTGAAACACGTACATTTAGCACTTGGTGTTAAACCTGAACATCACCATTATCAGCCGTGATCCACAGGCAATGTCACGTGGAAAGAAACAATGCACGACGCGAGTGAGAAGCCGTTTTACCATTGTTTTTGCAATTGGTGACAAAAAAGGACATCGATTCAAATGAAGACATTTTTTTTACCGTCTTTTTACAATTTCTGTTGACATAAATAATTTTAAGAATTAATGGGAATAATCCATAAGCCTCGCTGAAGCCGTGCCCTTTTTATTTTTTATTTGCCGTGACTCACTTTCATACCCTAAACCTTTGATTCACCACCCCTCATATGCATGCACCGCATATAAAAATTATATTGAGAACACAAATGTATGGGGCAGGCTTCCCAGCTGCCACACAGCACACCGTCATCGCCCGCAGCGCCGTGCATGCACACGGAGAGTCGCTACGCACACGGAACAACCAGCCACACGACGTTATTACGCTACTCGAAATAAAAACTCCATCCGTTGGAACATGCACGGGGGGGGGGGGGGGCGAGGTGGGTGGTGGTGAGCACACACACGCACGCACACACGCACACACACGCACGCGCGCACGCACGCACACACGCACACACGCACGCACGCACGCGCGCACACACGCACACACGCATGCACGCACACGCACACACACGCACACACGCACACACACACGCACACACGCACACACGCACGCACACACGCATGCACAGGCGCAAGCAAGTGCGCATGCACACACGCACGCATATGTGCGCACGCACGTCTGTCTGTATGTATGTAAGAGGGTTGAGAGTGAGGTCAGAGTAAGCGCAGGGTCATGGCAACATTTGCGTCGAAGCGAGTGTGTCTGACCCCGACGCTAATCCGGGGGACGTGACAACCGGCTTAAGAGGGTGCCTGGGGGGGGGGGGGGCAAAGGAGGGCACTCTGGCAAAACGGGCAGACAGATGCTTTACCCCACTCACTCACCCGTGTGCCTCACCCCACTCCCTCACTCACTCACCCGTGTGCCTCACCCCACTCCCTCATCACTCGTGCGCCTCACCCCACTCCCTCACTCACTCGTGTGCCGTCCTCCCCTTCTCCCTGTCCGTCAATTCCCAGTCCGACCCCCCCCCCTTCCGTTCAATCACGCAACATTGGCAGAGGCTGCGGTGACGACAGAGGTGGCGGTGGGACCTGCTGGCACGCGTCACAGCTTGGCGGAGTTGGTCTCGCGCGGGTAGAACTCGGCGATGGTGCTCTGCGGGATGCGCTTGAGCATCTCCTTGGGGAAGATGCGCAGCAGCTGCCAGCCGATGTCCAGCGACTCGAAGATGGTGCGGTTCTCGTACGCGCCTGGGCCGAGCGAACGGAGCGAGCATGAGGGGTGGCAACGTATCGTCGTCGCCGCCATATCGACGTCGATATTCGTCACAAAGTCAAGACGTCAAAGTGAATGCTGTTTCGAATGAGCATTGAGGCGGTGCTTACTTCTCGTTTAAAGCCCTGAGCCCGTTGTGGAATATCCACATTACTTTGTTGGGAGTGAGGATTTTTCTATAGGGTAACCACTGTTGACTTCCCAACGAAGTGGAACTCGTTTTATTGACCCTTGAGAGAGGATGGCCAAGCTCCAATTTGATAACAATATTGAAAGTAAGTTACTTAGTAACCAGCATTGAAGATGTCATATATGATGTCCCATCACCATGACCACCTCCGTGTAATATTCATAAAAAGTGCATAGTTTGTAAACACAAAACGTTTGCTATGTATAATAATGAAAATAACCTCGATATATATAGCACTTGGTTAAAATGCATTGATAAGCATGATTCATGATGCTCCACCATGACTTGTATGATTATATTTCTGCACCCGGCGCACCATATCCAGACAACCTCTCACTATGGCCGTGGCTATATTGTTCCATCACTGCGAGCATCTTAGCCACACTGATCAGGTGCTGGAGGGGAATATTTTAGACCTGTCAACACTGTGTCTAATAATAGCACCACACTCATTCACTTCTGCCACTTCAAGGGTATCATGCAGCATGAGACGTGACTGGTGTGTTCGTCTTAATGTGTGGGGAGCGGCAGCGTAGCGGGTAGTCCGCTGCGCCACGGAGCCGGTAACCCGTGTTCGATTCCCACTCACGGGAAAGCACCAGTGACGTTGATATCTTAACTTGTCCTGGGCCTAGGTCGACGCAGCCTCAAACGGGTACCTGGTGTGGCGTGTAGACATCGCCACTTGGGCGATGTCTGCTGGCTAACAGTAGTTGCCTCACACATCTGTTAAGGATATAAGGGGGATCTTTGGCGCACCAAAGCTATTTGAAAGTCTGATCTGACCCTCGGTAAATAAAAAGTTTTCCTGCACCTACTTTATGGTCTAATATTAGCCTTCGCTTAAAACAGAAGGATGCTTCTGGTGAAATGTTACCACTAAAACATAAACAAACACAATGGGACAACCGCCAATCACCATGTGTATGATCTGGTTTCAGACGAGCCCGAGTCCTAGATTAAGCGAGGAGTTGATGTGTAAAAGGCACAAATACATCAAAATGCATGCGCGATTACCAAATCATATTCAAAACAAAACAACGCGGGCTGACTTTTTTAATTGGGATGCTTGCACGGCAGGGCTTATTTTAAGTCGGCTCTGTCTGGGTTGGTGACCCGGAAAGTATGTACACACCCGTCACACCACGTCCAGTACACCTCTTGCTATGTCTATGGCTACTACGAGTCACATGCCTACCTGCTGCAGTCACAGTGAGACAGACTCTTTCTATATCCTGGAGAAATCCGATGAGCTATGAGGGCTCTCTCTCTCACAGATGTCCAGTACGGGCGGCTCAGTCTACCAGCGACATGGAAAATATTCGGTGGGAAATTGAGCCCAACTTTGATGCTGCTAATCCTGCATAATGCACGGGCATAAGAAGTACTAATCGCCTACCTGCATTTCCCAAAGATATGCTAAATTCCTCTTGATATGCATATTCTTTTGTCAAGGCGCCCTTTTCCCCCCTTCCAACCCAGCTTATATAGATGCTCCAAGCACGTGTGCTGTTTCATTCAGACGCTGTCTTATCGACAGACCTGGTTTTCACCTGAGGACGGCTGCTTGCGTTGTGGCCGAAACGTCGTGAGAATTGTTTTATTATGTTTTATTTTTATTATTTTATTACTTCCCTTCTACGTGACTTTACCGAAAGAACCAAGAAGAAGAAGGTTGTGTGAACGTTATTATTTGCCGATGCTTTCGTTGGCAGTCGTGCACAAGCGGAATTAATGTGGAAAACAGAAACTCATAGGTCACCTCACGTTGAATTCAATACCGTTCATCCGGCAGGACTGAATGATCGTCCAGCATTCCCTTCAAACATAGCTCTGTTGCTGAGTGCTAGACACACCGTATCCCCATCTAGTTTCATTCTACTCGTTTTCGATGTATACGTGTGTTCCTCACATTTTTACTTCTCAGATTTATCCACCTCAGGAATGTAAAGCAGTTAAATGAATCCATTGACCACTGATGTGCTATGAAGAAGAGCCATTGTCCTAAACGTCACCTATTAGGCACATTTATTTTTATTTCAAGGCCACAGTGTTATTGACGAATGTGTAGAGTATTTATCATGAATGTAAATCAGCTCGGGTGCAGGTGCTGGGTGGATTGATGCATCTCAGAACGGAGAGGAATGTCAATGGCTTGCAGAGGCCTTTATCCAGCAGGGAGCTGATGATGATTGCTGATGATGCTTGATGATGGTGTGTGTGTGTGGGAGCGGTAGTGTAGTGGTTAGCATGCTGCGTTACGAACCCGGCCACCCGAGTTCGATACCCGCTTATGGCCAACACCAGTGACAATTATCAGAATCGGTCATGGACCTCTCCTAGTTCGACTCAGCCTCAAATGAGTACCAGGTGCGATGTGTGAACATTGCCACTCGGGAGACAAAGGCGGCCGGGCGTGGTCTTGGCCACCCACCCCCCTCGTGTGCCGTGTCGGCCTTCCTAGGTGTTTGCTAACAGCACTTGCCCCAACAGTCTGTTAAGGCTACGCGAGGGATCTTTGTCTTTGTGCGCGACGGCGGAAAGCACGAGTGTGCGGCCTGCGCGTGACGCGGGTCGGGGACCGCTCTCTCACCCTGGGCGATGAAGGTCTTCTCGAACTTCTGCAAGAACTCGAGGTAGAGGAGGTCATCGGGAGTGAGCGCCTCCTCCCCCACGACGGCCTTCATGGCCTGGACGTCCTTGCCGATGGCATAACACGCGTACTGCGCACGCACGCAAACACGGGACACACACACGGGACACGCACACGGGACACGCACACGGGACACACACACGGGACATACAGACGGGATATCACACGGGACACACACACACGGGACATACAGACAGGACACGCACACGGGACACGCACACATGGGACATACACACGGGACATACAGACGCTTTCTCCACTGCCAACATTCCGCTTATCCACCGCGTAGGTTTTTACCGTACTGCTGCACGTGTTTTAGGTTTGCATGAACTGAATATTCAGGCACTGAGGAAGATCCCTGGACTTTGCATGAAACGTCGGACGTCGTGCCGAACGAGATACAGTACAAGGCGAAAGTCCATCGGAGAGCTGTTCGGCTCAAAATCGAAAAACTCAACACCGAATGATGAAGGTAATGCAGCACGCAGGCGATCATGCGAAATGAAATGTGTGCTCGTGCCTACCGATCACGCGAGTCCCTTCTCATACATCGCAAATGCAGGACCACGTTCTCCTGATTATAAGACGCACGTTTCCCCCAGTATTTAAGAGCAAAAGTCGGCGGTGCATCTTCCGATGCAGTAGGTGCGTGTGTGAAACCACATTTGTGCGTCTTTATTTACGCTGGGCACAAGTTTAATGTGTGTGCCACACTTTCCGTAACGTCGAATACGGGAATAGATATTTGCATGCACGACTTGACGCAACGAATTGATTTTAATTGCCAAATCGACGCACCGTCGCGCGATTATCATTCGTTTTGACACGCTGTACGGAGATGTGTGGGTGGGTCATCGTGCGAGGCTGACCAGCTGGTTTGAGACATCCGAGTGATCCTTCCTGGTCATGCCCTCCCCAATGGCCGACTTCATGAGACGAGACAATGAGGGCAGCACGTTGATGGGAGGGTAGATCTACAAACACAATCAACATCAACATCATCATCGTCGTCAATATCACCAACACCATTATACCAGATGTAAAGCTTTCGTGACTGCAAGGATTCATATTCTTAGGTTTTTTCGGTAAAGTCACGTAGGTAAAAAATGTAAGTTAATAAAAGTAAAATAAAACAGAATCAAAAATCACGACGTTTCGGAAGCAACACAAGCCTCCGTCTTCAGGTGGAACCGTCACAGCCCCGACAGCTGTATCAAGTAAATGAGAAATCACAAGAAATACCACCCCGTATATATAATGGTTGAGGGAGGAAGGGCCAGGAACGGCACACTTTTTTTTATACCAACTACTACTATTACCATCGTAATCATTATCATTGTGATTATTACCACCAAAGACAAATATCCCCCATTTGGCCTCAACAGACCGTTGGGGCAAGTTCTGTTCATGAGTGCCGACACGATACATAAGGGGGTGAGTGGGTGGCCAGCACCACGCTCGACCGCCTTTGTGGCAATGTTTACACACTGCACCAGGCACTCATTTGAGGCTGAGTAGACCTAGGGGAGGTCCAAGACCTCTTCAGATAATCGTCACTGGTGTTGGCCGTGAGCGGGAATTGAACTTGGGTCGCCGGTTCGTAGCTGCACTACCATGATCACTATCACCATCATCAACAGCGGAGGAATGATTGGATTAGTTTAAGAACCGTTTTTTGTATTGTTCATCAAAATCAAAATAAGGTCACTGAAACAAGTCACAGTGGTAGAACACTTTCTAAGAATCATCATCCTCCTCCTCCTCCCTCAACATCACCACCACCACCATCACCACCTGACCCTGCGAACCCGTGTCTCACCTGTCTGTTGTGTAGCTGTCTGTCAACATAGATCTGCCCCTCCGTGATGTACCCAGTCAAGTCCGGGATGGGATGGGTGATGTCTTTGGAAAAAGCGGAGACAAAAGGAGGCGGACACGAGGAGCCATCACATCACATCACAAGCGACAAGCGACACCTTGGCGGACACTGTGACACTGAACAAAAGGGATTCAGCGGTACGTGTCCAGGGGGGGTGTCATTGTTGCCACACTCGGTTTGCAATATAGAGGTCGGTTGCCGGTTCTATTAGGGCTCTCGGCGTGACAGTTAAAATAATGAAAAAGTCAATACATCCGTCAATAACACTGTGGCCTTAAGAGGAGCAAAATATATATAATAGGTCATGTTTTTAGGGAAAATGGGCCATCTTCACAGCACGTAAACGATGAGCAAGCTTCTTAAATCCCAATGAGCAGTATAAATGGGGTCACCGCAGTCAGTCGATGGGCAGGTCACGTGCGCGGTTGGCTAAAGTGTGGGTACTTCCACCTCTTCCGAGACGTCTGGCCAGCGTGGAAGAGTAGGCCAAAACACACACTCTCTCTGAAAGGGGCTCGCGAGATCTCCCGCTAGTGGATGACCTTCTGCCAGCAGTCGTGAAAAAAAGACATTTCAGAGCATCACCTCTAACTCGAGCTCGCGGGCTCATTGATCAACTGTGACATTTTAACGATTTTTATTTTTAAACTAAACTATACACTACGCTTTATTTTCCCAGGTAAGGCCCACTGGGCTACACAGCTCTTTTTAAGAAGCGACCTGGCCACAAACGATAGCCCAATGAAGTGACTTATCACGTGGAAATGTCTCGCAGCCAAACACTCTAAACGCACGGTTGATTCTAAATAGTGGAGGGAAAAACTGGAGTGCCCGGATAAAAATCTACGCAACCACGGGGGAGAGACGTGCAAACTTCAAATATACAGGCATTAGGGTCGGGATCGAACCCGCGACCAGGCGAGGTAGGTAGCATCTCGCCGCCTGCTCTTGCTGATCTACGAGCTCACTTGTGCCTCTCTGGCAAGAGGTGATCCCGGAGCGCCAAGGCACAGAGCAAATGTCCTTTTGTTTGGAGCTGTTAACAATAAATGATTCAGTCTGCCAGCGAAGCCTGAATAAAGAGTCAATTAGGTTCCTTTGCAAGTATGTCCAAACATATTGATGTATTGGTCAAATTAACGCCTTACAAACCACAGTATAATAATATTAATAATAACACCATTATTTATCTTACAGTTCAACTCGTCGCAGCACCAGTAGCAGAAATAATACAATTAACAAATCTAAAAAAAAAAAGCCCTTTGCCAATACACTGCTGGATGAAGGTCTCCCCATGTCGAGTTGGTCATGGGAGTTGACCATATGTCACCATGCTGAGCTATGTGAGGACACGGATCTGTATGATTACCGGTGCCGTGAGGTTAGAGAGCGGAATCAGCGGTGGTGGCTGCGCCAGGTGCCCGGGCAGGTGGATTAGCATGTGAGCGTGAAGAGGAATCCCCAGGTGAGCTCGTAGATAAGTGCACAGGTGAGTGTATAGATGAGTGTGTTGATCAATGTATAGGTGAGTGTGGTACCAGATCCTCTAGGACGAGGATCAAAATTGGGCTCGGATCAGACACAAGACTATCATGATGCACTCGTGTGAGACTGCTGTGTTTGCGCTCATTTACATTTGTTTCATTTCTGTACTTTATATTATTTGTTTTTCCGTTATCACTTTGGTGAACTTGGTGACCCAAATCACAGTTGAAAACGAGGCTCATCCTCCTCATCTCTTGAGTTCTCACCTGGTTCGACAAACTCAAGTTGACTTCCGTATGGGTGAATTTGCATTTGAGTGCACGGGTGACGGCACTGAGGAGTGGCGTCAGGCGAGTTTCCCAAGGGGCGAGCTCACAGGTGAGTTTGCAGGTAAGTTTGCGGGTGAGCACGCATTTACCGTCGTTGGGCATGGTGAGGATGGGGATCTGGGTGATGGAGCCGTTCCTGCCCTCCACGCGGCCCGCACGCTCGTAGATGGTCGCCAGGTCGGTGTACATGTAACCGGGGAAGCCACGGCGACCCGGGACCTCCTCGCGAGCCGCCGACACCTGGATGCGAGCGAGGGACACACGAGTGTGCGCGTGTGTGTCAGTACGTGTGTGTGTGTGTGTGTACGCGTGTGTGTAAGTACGTGTGTGTGTGTACGCGTGTGTGTAAGTACGTGTGTGTGTGTGTGTACGCGTGTGTGTAAGTACGTGTGTGTGTGTACGCGTGTGTGTAAGTACGTGTGTGTGTGTGTGTACGCGTGTGTGTAAGTACGTGTGTGTGTGTGTGTACGCGTGTGTGTAAGTACGTGTGTGTGTGTGTGTACGCGTGTGTGTAAGTACGTACGTGTGTGAGTGTACGCGTGTGTGGGGAGCGGTAGTGTAGCGGTTAGCGCGCTGCGCTATGAACCTCGCGACCCGGGTTCGATTCCCGCTCACGGCGAACACCCAGTGATGATTATCTGAACCGGTCCTGGGCCTGCCCTAGGTCTACTCAGCCTCAAATGAGTACCTGGTATGATGTGTAAACATTGCCACTGGGGATACAAAGGCGGCCGGGTATCATGTTGGCCACTCCACCCCCTTGTGTGCCATGCCGGCCCTCATAGACGCTCACTGACAGCACGTGTCCCAACAGCCTGTTAAGGGCTACAAGGGGGATCGTTATCTATTACAGGGCACGGCAGTAGTGCACAGTGGTGTGTGTGCGTGGACGTGTCTGTCTACGGGAGTGCTGGGTGGTACTGCGTGCAGACGCGTGCGTGCGTGTATGGGTATGCCGAGCGGTGGCGAGTGGTGGTGCGTGCGAGCGAGCACAGGTTCGGCTCACCTCACGCAGCGCCTCGGCGTAGCTGCTCATGTCGGTGAGGATGACGAGCACGTGCTTCTCGCACTGGTACGCGAGGAACTCGGCCGTGGTGAGCGCCAGGCGCGGCGTGATGATGCGCTCAATCCTGGGGAGCCGCGAGCGTCACGGCCCATCCACGCGGGGCAGAGACATGTTGATACTTTGTTAGATTACAGCAGCGGTGGTGAGTGGCGCCATGGGGGCGAGAATGTACCCTACCTCGCCTGGTATACAGGAGGGCGCCCGTATATTTGGAATTTGCGTGTTCACACCCGTGGTCGCATGGATTTTTCTCTGGGTCCTCCGGTTTTTCCCTTCCACAATTAGAATCAACGTCACGCGTTCAGAGTGTTTGGCCGCTGTACATTTTCACACGATAAGCCACTTTGTCGTGGCCAGGTCGATTCTGAAAAAGAGCTACATAGCTCAGTGGGCCTTGCTTGGTAAAAGTAAATAAAGTTTAGTTTAGTTCGTGCACTCCACTATTAAGGCATCAAGTAACTATACTATACATATACTAAATAAATCCTGGAATGTTCGTTCAGCACCCACACTGCCTTCATATACGCAGCACGTAAAATCAATCTGGCTGCTTTATTATCACTACGTGTGCAATGGGTGCTTCATGTGGACGTTATCGGTTAATCGATCAATATCGATCCTCAAGGCTAATGATACGAGCAATCCAACCGCGTGTATAAGAGTCACTGATTTCTGGTTTGCTGACATTACATGTAAATCATATGCTCATTTTGGATGTAAGCTAACGTATAAAACAATGCAATAATGGCAGGCAATTATGGATCGAATCTTTAATCAAACCGTGCCTCTGAATGACGACAATTAATAGAATGACCATGATGAGGGGAGGGGAGTTAAACCTCATACCCCAATAACACGTGGTGATTTGCAGTGTTGGTGCTGAACGCGAGCCAGACGAGGCACCTGCGAGTTGAGAATGGTACTCGGCTTGCAAACGCAGCGACCAGAGGAGGCTTGGAAGGGAAACATTTGTTCATAAAAAAATATAACCATCTTCTTGGTTCTTTCGGTAAAGTCACGTAGAAGGGAAGTGACTTTACCGAAAGAACCAAGAAGATGAATCCCTGCAGTCACTATAGCTTTAAATCGAAAAATATAACCAATTATACTTTCACATTGTCGCCTTTCCAGTCTGCTCGAATGATAAAGATTACCCCCCAAACACGAACAAACACTAATGAGACGCAAATGAACATTGCACGCATTACGAACGTGTCCGCTCATCAGTAAAAACACCAAATTGTTTGCGGGAAGGGAGATGGCTCGAGGGTTTCTGCGGGGATGTGGCCGCGTTGTTTGCAGCGTCGATCCTGCTCGCGTCCGAGGCGTTCGTCACTTTGCACTCCGCGTGGCTCAAGGACGATCGCAAATTCGCGATGCAACAGGAATACACAGACTCACTCTCGCTAACGAGATGTGTGTGCAGTCGCTGCTCAAGCTCGTCTGACTGCGGCATTAATCAACAACGTGTTCTTGGGTTTTTTCCGTAAAGTCATGTAGGTAAAAAATTTTAATTAATGAAAGTATAATAAAATAAAAATTTAAAAAATCACGACGTTTCGGAGGCAACACAAGCTTCCGTCTTCAGGTGGAACCGTCACAGCACGACAGCTGTATCAAGTCGTGATTTAATTAAATTTTTTATTTTATTTTACTTTTATTAATGAAAATGTTTTACCTACGTGACTTTACCGAAAAAACCCAAGAATATGAATCCTTGCAGTCACGAAAGCTTCAAATCTAGAATCAACAACGTGGCAGGCTGAGCGTTACTTGTCGGTAAAATAACAACAGCAACTGACTTGCAGCTCCGATGTCAGGAGTCCTGTAGAAATGGCAACTTCTGTTCATGGATCATAGTTCATAAAAGCTACATTTAATCTCTTGACTTAAAGCTTTCGTGACTGCAGGAATTCATATTCTTTGGGTCTTTCGGTAAAGTCACGTAGATAGAAAAATAATAAAGTAATAAAAAATCACGACGTTTTGATCGCAACACAAGCAATTGTCTTCAGGTGAAACAAAACAGCAGGCGGACTGCTGAGGCAGGAAGAAATATAGCGAGAGAGCTTCTGCAACTATCTAATAGGTTATAAAAGTTTGAGAAGGGTACAACCCAAGGGTAAGTGGGCGGGGCTAGAGATGGAATTTGCAAGGAAATTTGCAAGTAAATGGAAGATCGCAGAGCTAGGCATACCTCGGCCATTTTCTATCTACGTGACTTTACCGAAAGACCCAAAGACTACATTTGATCGTTTAGACCAACTTCTTCTTGCCATGAATGATACTGATGAAAAGCAACAGCTATCATTTCACATCGAGGTCGTTGAGCCACATGATTGCATCAGGAATAGCGGAGTGGTGCTTTGCCTGGATGATGCCTGATCACAGCTAACATCAGTGGCGAGTTATTAATGAAATCGGTCATGCCCTCCCTGCCACCTTACCTTCACCAGCCCGCACGGGCCACCGTGGTGAAGTAAGGCCAAACAACCCCCCCTCCCCCACCAACACTGACATGGAGTGAGGAATGACCAGGGACTGTAAACTTCATGATTGTGAGTGCCACTGTCAAGTGACCAAAGAAAATCCCATTTAGATATTTTTGTTATCAAATACCATGAAACCTTTTTCCATGTTTGGCCAATCCTCGGTATTTTTTTCACGTGGCATGCAGCAATGTGACAGACACCCTTCTAGTAAAACAATCGTATGCCTGTGGTGTTCATGAGAAGTGGATGGTGGAGATGATATTAAGGTGGTGGCAATAATACAAAAGCGATGGAGATTATATGAGGGTTGTGGAGATGTTATTAGGGTGGCAGAGATGATATTAGGGTGGTGGAGAAGATATTAGGGTGGTGGAGATGATACAAAGGGGTGGAGATGACATTCAGGATGCAGAGAGGGTGTTGTGGTCTGCATTGTGTAGGAGGTCCTCACGTGGGGTCGTTGGCCAGGTTGAGGAACAGGCACACGTTGTCCATGGAGCCGTTCTCTTCAAAGTCCGACTTGAAGAACCTCGCAGTCTCCATGTTCACCTAGGGAATGAACCACGATTCCATACGGCTAGATACTGCTGTGGTGTAGTGGTTAGCAGCGCACTGGACTCGCAATCCAGGTTCTCTCGTTCGATTCCATCTCCCGGTGCGGCACAGTCTAATGGTCAACACACTCGACTTGCAATCCAGGGGTCGCCAGTTGAATTCAAATTCCTGGTACATCAGTTGAAACAACGCTGAAAATTTCTTAAATCCCCCCCCCGCCCCACCGCCTCTGTTCACCCAGGGGTATAATTTGGCCCAGCACATTTGTGGGATCGACAGGTTGGGGGGGGGGGGTAAATTGTGGGTATTTCTACCTCTTCCAACACATCTGGCCAGTGTGGAAGAGTAGGCCAACCATCACTTAGAGGGGCTGTCTCCAGAGCTCACACTTCTGAAGGCCCTTCTCGCATCAGTGGTGTAAGCAAGAAATTGCAGGGCTGTGCCTTTTACCTGTTACAGTAAGAACACAAACCAAATGCATTCTTCGTGCCCTGATAATCACCATCATCTTGACGGCTTTAGAGATGCTCAATGGGCGTGGTTGACGAGGGGCTGATGGCAAACAAAAAAAACCCAAAATGAAAGCGACACTTACGCCCATGGCAGCGAAGACGATCGCGAAGTTGTCATCGCTGTAGTCCATCGTGTCCTTGCCTTGCTTGACGAGACCGCCCTGGCGGCAGATCTGAGCCGCGATCTGCACAGACAACGCCACAACCGCAAACCGATCTCACGCAATCCACACTGCATCCAGAGCAGATCCATCGTGCACCACATTCATCGTGATCGACTCATGATGATTGGTTCACTCTGCAGCCTCCAATCCCTCTGGAAACTGGAGGGAGGAAAAAGTAAGTGATTTATTGTGAGCGTAAAGTTCAATTAAATACATTTATTGATTGATATTGTCACATGCCTACATTCTCTGTAAGTGGAACAAATCTTCAACACGTTTCCATGCAAAACACATAGCAATGTTTAATGTGTACACCGCAATTGTCCATGCGATGATATGAGAACATCAACAGGTGGGTGTGCACATCTCCTTCAGGAACGGTAAATTAAAGACAAGGCAAAGTAATGCGACTGTGGTCGTGCAACCCAACCTACAGGGTTGTAATCGAACCCACGACCTCCTGTAAACCGGGCGAGGTAGTTAACATCTCGCCACCGTGACGCCCCTATATGGTGAGGGGAGTGAAGCTGTGGACGGACCTCGTTGTGGGGCAGGCCGGCCGCGGAGAAGATGGGGATCTTCTGCCCGCGGGCGATGCTGTTCATGGTGTCGATGGCCGAGATACCCGTCTGGATCATCTCCTCGGGGTAAATGCGGGACTGGGGGTTGATGGGCTGGCCTGGCCCAGTCAAAGCGCACGGGGACAAACACGCCAAGGGGAGCATTGTTCGTTACGGTGTTTCCTTTTGCAAATTCCATCACACGCTTTTCCATATGTACCCACCTACGATTAGCACGGTTGGCTACGTACGGTGCGAAAGAAGTTCAACATACGTACGTATTCCAAAACCATATCCCGTGGGAAATTGGATACATGCAGAGCGCTTATGTAATCACCCGTTCTCCTGTATGTCGTGCGTGATTGCATTGCACTGGTGTTACACTGGTTGAGGAGCAACACACAAGCACACTGTAGATATATGCACACCTGGACTTGCTCACACAATGGGTGTGCTTATGTGAGGCTTCCGCCGTACAACGGGTTTTAGTGTATTCTGTGAATTCTAGATTTGAAGCTTTCGTGACTGCAAGGATTCATACTCTTAGGTTTTTCGTTAAAGTTACGTAGGTAAAAATAAAAATAATAATAAAGTAATTGTTTTATTTAAAATAAATATTTTATTTCTATTATTATTTTATTATTTAAATAATAATTTTATTTCTATTTATTTTTCCTACGTGACTTTACCGAAAAACCTAAGAGTATATTTTGTGAATGCGTTCACTGACCCTAAAAAAGCAAAACTTTGCTCAATTTCGAGTCAATGGAAGAGAGAACAGGGGAGCAGTGGCGCACTGCTCTATGAACGGAGAAACCTGAGTTTGATTCCTGGCCATGGCTAACATCAGTGGCGAGTGATGTCGGAACCGATTCTGGGGCTCTTCCCTTCACCAACCCGCACTGACAAGTGTGGGGAAGTATGGTCAAATCACTCCCAAAGACTGACACAGCATGGGGATGCCTTCATCCAGCAGTGGAGTAGAAAATGGCTGAAATGTATTAATTATTGTGATATGGAATGAAAGGACCACACAAGTGAGAGCATAGTACCAACAAAATGTAAGGATTGCATTAAATAATGGGAAAACTTTTCACGACTCCTGTTATTTATTATTTGCTTGCCGGAAAAATATTTGTAAGAATTTATTTTGGAATGTTTTTTTCCAGTTTTCAAAACAACAACACGCACTCAAAAAACAAATCCTCATACATATAATTTCACTACCCTAAGGTGGACCTCTAAAGAAAAATCTGACTACGCATTTGGTGCCGCGGCGTTGACAGTGGTGAACCAGCTCAATTCACGAAAATAACTCTACACGTTCATCAACAGCAGCGTGGCCTTAACAGGAAAACGATAGAATCGGTGACATTTAGCACGTACACCATTTATGTGCTATGAAGAAGGGTCATTGCCACGGTGTTATTATTCTGAATACAGCAAAGTTGGCGAGCATAATACAACACGCCACTAATTTATGGCACAACAACTTTCCTCTCCCTACGTTTTGCCGTTCATCCTCTGACAGCAATTTCAAATATTACACAACGAAAAAGGGGAAATCTCACTTAGAATACGAAATAACACCTGGCCAGTTCAATGTTTAACACGACATCAAGTGATAAAAAGCAGAAGATACTTTTCTTAAAAGGACTCTCTTCCTGGCTCGCAAAACTCTTAGAGCGCAGCACGCGATTACGCACAGTGACACACAAAAGGCTCCAATTGAGTTGCAGGGAGACTTGAGACTCCCAACCTGTCCCATCCATGCAGCGAGCACTTACCCATGATGTCCAAATAATCCTCTGCGAGCACCGGAGGGCCTTTGTCGATGGGCTTTCCCGAGCCATTAAACACTCGACCTGCATCGGAGGCACATTTTCCACAATCACTTAACGTCTCTAAAAGCTGAAAATCATGGGCGACGCTCACGTAGTCCCCGCTATTACATAGTCCGTTGTCCCGTAGTCATGCTATTCCATCATCCCGCTATTCCGTAGTCACGCTATCCCATCACCATGTTATCTCGTAGTCCCACTATCCTGTAGTCCCACAATCCCATAATCCCACTATCCTTTCACCATGCCATCCCATAATCCCACTATCCTTTCACCATGCTATCCCATCGCCCCACTATCTTGTCGCCCCGCTGTCCCATAGTCCTGCTACCCCTGTTGCCACAATTGACGAGGTGGACGCAATCACAGTCGCAAATATTCGTAAAGACGGAAACAGCCCGGCCGGGGCGACTGACCCAGCATGTCCTCGGAGACGGGCGTCCGGAGGATGTCCCCAGTGAACTCGCAGGTGGTTTTCCTGGCATCGATCCCGGACGTGCCTTCGAATACCTGCGGTGGTGCAGAGCGGGCAACAGCAACCACCCCACCCCCCCAGAGGAAGCGTGAGTGGTCAGGTGGCACGCCTGGCTCAGACAGGACGCTGGGAGATTTGGATTTGGACAGGGAAGGTTCTTCATCTATCAGTGAAGAGTTGACTATAAATAACAGCACGGCGCTGCACTGAGCAAAGGAAAGCAAAAAGCAGACAGCCTTGAATTGTCAGCGAAGCAATCAATTGCCCTATACACATTCAAATCCTCTAGGAGGCACGGTGCTGTTGATTCGACTCAGAATGTCATCGGTGGCCACGCTAAATCAATATCTTTCACTCGCACCCCCACCCTGAGCCGCCCCTCCCCCACCCCCCCCCACTTCGTTTTAATTATCATTCAGCTATTAATTCATCGCTCCGGCTGCACATCACAATAATTACAATCGTCATGACGATGACGTGCACCCTCGTCGCTTTCGCCGGAGCAGTTCACGCCCGCATTCGGGGGGGGGGGGGGGGCATCCACCTCGACTCTCAGCGCGGGGGGGGGTGGAGGGGGTCGTGGGGGGGTGGAGGGGCAAAGGGGAAGTGAGGGAGGGGGCCACCTGAGCTCCCGACACCCCTGCTCCGTGCACTTTGCCGGTCGTCTGGGGAGAGCGGGGCGACATAGACTTGATGGCTTTTAAAGCGCCGGGCGGCAAAACTTTGGCGAGATCAGAGGCGAGGTGACAAATGAAGCGCGCCGTGAAGGGCCCTGCACTGGCGCGCGCGGGCACTTGGCCGCCAGCCAAGCGAGGGTCTCTGGGAGGTTAGCGTGGGGGGCCCCGTCGCTCCCTCCAAACCCACGCTCGCTCACTCGCTCCCGCTCGCTCGCGTGCCTAATTTAATGGCCAGAGAAACCTTTTGCCCAAACTCTTCTTGCTCACTGAGCAATCAGCCCACAGATGGCCTTACAGACGGGCAGAAATAATGAAAGAAATCATAATAAAACGGGCGCTGCCTGGAAACAGAAAGGACCGCACAAACTTTGGCAAAACACGGCCCACCCGCCTCCACCACCAGCCTTCCACCACACCCCCTCTCCACAACCGCCACCACCACCACCCCTCTCCACAACTGCCACCACTACCACCACCACCCCCCTCTCCACCACCACCACCACCCCCCTCTCCACCACCACCACCACCCACCCTCTCCACCACCACCCCCCCTCTCTACCACCACCACCACCCCCCCTCTCCACCACCACCACCACCCCCCCTCTCCACCACCACCACCCCTCTCCACCACCACCACCACCACCCCCCCTCTCTACCACCACCACCACACACCCCGCTTGGCACTGGGGCAGGCAGACAGGTGCACCTTTGTTACCGTCAGTGCCGGGATATGCAAATTGAGCCGCGCTCGTGTAAATGTCATGCGGTAATTAAATGTCATTTGCGTCACGCTTAATTGCGCGCATTATACTTCTTCCGTCTTATAATGCGTTTAGGAAATAATTTAGTTCAGTAAAGTGCGCGGTCTGGGTGGGGCGGCGGTGTGCGCGTAGCGGTTGGGGCGCTGCTGCACCGTGAACCGGGGCAATCCAAGTTCCACGCCCGGTGCACGGCGAACACCACTGGCCTCCAGTGACATCCGAAACGGTCCTGGATGACCCCCTTCACTAATCCACGTTGACCAGTGAGGTTAAGTATGACAAAGGTCAGAAGTCTTCTTGGTTCTTTCCGAAAGAACCAAGAAGATGAATCCCTGCAGTCACGAAAGCTTAAAATCGAAAAAGGTCAGAAGATTACGTTTGTTTTATTTGGACCTTCTCCAGGGAGGTAGGACATTCATTTGCAATGTTGAAGGGCCATTGCCCCTAAACGTCGCCTGTTAAATACGTTACCTTTTTAAGGCCACGGTGTTATTGACGAATGTGTTGAGTTGTTTTTGTTAATTTGTTTAATGTTTCTACTAAGTGGTACTCTGCAGCCGTGCGTATTTTACTGATCTCTGCGGGATGATGATACGGATCAGTCAATGAGAGACCGCAGCTTATGATGAAGATGAATGCGATGCTAGTGATAATTGTGAAAAAGGTGATGATGATAAGAGCTTACATCTTGAAACCCTCCCTCACTTGATGCAGCAAATCTGGCTGTGACGGTCCCACCTGATGATGGAGACTTGTGTTGCCTCCGAAACGTCGTGATTTTATTGTTTTATTTTTATTAATTTTAATTTCATTTTTTACCTACGTGACTTTACCGAAAGAACTAAGAGTAAGAGGATGATAATTGTGATGATAATGATTGTGACGTGAGTAGTGATGACGATGATTGTGACGACAATAACGATGGGGCAGGGGCCAGAAGCTCTCACCTGGACGACGGCCTTGGAGCCGCTCACCTCCAGCACCTGGCCACTGCGCCTCACGCCATCCGGAAGCGTCAGATGTACGATCTCCGCATATTTGGGAAACTAAGAGAAGCGGCAGAAACACAAAGGCTCTCTTATCTTATCTCGGATCGGATGGGCGGGGGGCAGGAGGGGGACCGGTGGGGGGGGGGGGGGGGGGTAAGGCGCAGGCTGCGGCATGGATACCGTGCAGGAGAAATGTTGAATGTCAGTGCCGTGTTGCAGTGACAAAACACACTGATACGCAGCGTAACACAAGTGCCGCACTCGTGCAAAACACACTACAACACAACGATAATCAAATGTTTTTCGAACACTGCGTTACTTAGAGGCGTGGAAAAGTAAGACCCCTCTTTGTATTGTGGCCTCAGGTGACATTCGTCGCGTTTCTGAGGGTGGGAGCAGCACGGGAAGCAGTGGTGTTGATTGGGGGGTTGGGGGTGGGGGGTCCGCAACACCAACATGGTTGAGAACTAATAATGTCAATGTCAATCCACTGCTGGATGACGGCCTCCCCAGACCAGACTTGACCGTGCTTCTCCACGCTGTTCCCTGAGTGCGGCTTGGCGAAGCCGGGGGAGCGTAGACGCAGGGAGCATATAACAGTACGGGACAACGATGGATTTTTCCTCGCCGCCCCCCTGCTGACAACATAGCCCAGCGTCCCTGACGCGCAGCGGTCCCAAACATCAATGGGACGTCGCAAAGGCAGATCCAGGCCACTTAATTCTGCATCAAAAAGGTGCCACGATTTTCTGACGTCGTCGTTTTTTGGCTACTCTCCTCGCGAGGGAGCGACGTAACGCCATCAGGTTCTCATCGTGAAGTGACGCGGTGCTCTCCGTGTGCCCGCCACAAGCATGGATTCTCGCTCGACTCGGGTAACCGGGGGTTGCCACCTGTCCTGGTTTACCCAGGACGGTCCCCGTTGTTTTCTGGGAAGTGTTCAAGTCTTCCCAGGACACGACCAGCGTCGGCTTGCATCAGCTGAGTAACAATACGCCACGCGAGACGAGGGGTTAACTCGTGGTTCTCGCTTCGTCCACTCAATGCGAGATATTCTTATTTTCACGATATCTCCTGGGGCATTTTAGTTTTTCTTCTACCTCAGAGGTGGCACACGTATTAGCAAGAGTGATGGGAAATGTGAAAAATCCGACAATCTCAGCGCCAGTCGTAACTTGCCATTTTCTGTCTCGTCAGTACCAGACTAGCCAAGCAAATGTCACCCAATTTGCATAACATGCCACATCGTGTAAACACCAGACTTTACATGAAATGTCTGCAATTGCTTGGTATATTTAGTGACAACGCTACTTGGGTGAAATTGTTTGGTTGATATTATAATAACAACAATAGTCATCATTATTATTATTTAAAGCACTCTGTCAATCTGCTGCTGGATGAAGGCCTTCCCAGCCATTAGCAACGTAGACTTGTTGCTAAAGGAGGAACTCTACTCTATCCATGCACTATTACCATGAGAAAATAACCAATGGCATGCCGACACCCAGCGCTGGGCCACACAAAAACACAGTCGGTGTAAATGTTCTACTATACACGTGCATTGTAATAAGCTTGAATGAACGCATCCTAATGTGATAACAGTCTTGGAGATGACTTCTGGAATCCGTCTTTTTATTAACTTAGGGTACAATTACTCCCCGCTGCTGATAGGCAACGTGAAGTGGACAGATGCACCGAGAGAGACGCACGGCCACGTGGCAACTCGGAGCCCCGCTCATGCGTGGCCCCTTCCTTCTTCCGTTCCTGTTCTGACCACGTGTCGTTCTTCTCTACCCCTATTTAATACCCGGGTCACGTGGTATGCTTGAGCTAATCCTCGTTAGCCTGCCTCGAATCTTCCAGGCTCCCTCTTCAGCTCCTGGGACCACGCCCCTGACTCATCTCCCCATTGGTTGAGGCAAAAGCCAGCAGAACCAATCTCCCTAGCTGTCACCTCTCCATCACGTCAGGGCCATGCCCCAGGCTTCATCCCATTGGCTGTAAACCAGGACCGGCAGAGCCAATCACCATGACGAGTTGTGATCCGTCAGTGAGCCGGATATAGCCTCATATTACACTAAGGTGGAGGCCGCTCGAGACTACGACTGTGCCCCTTCGACGGCCATCGTCAGCATCATCATCAGTCGTGATCAATCCACTGCTGGATGAAGGCCTCCCCGAGTATTCACAGTCCCGCGTGGCAGTACGTCTTGCACCTGCACACGAGATGATTTCGTGGCTCCATCTCTGTGGCAGGTCACGTGCTCTTCTTTGGCTGACATTCCGACATTGGCCTTAACCCGCCGGCCATCTTCCCTTCCAGTGATGTGTCCTGGCCACGCCCCTTATTTTTTCCTAACGTCGCCATCAGCATCACGGTTCTGTTGTCCTTTCGCCGCACCTCCGATTAGAATGGTTGGCTACGTATGATTCGAAAGAAGTTCAACATACATACATGGTTACCGTGAAATCATCACCTGACTGATTTCACAAACTCGAAGATTAAAGCTTAGGTCCTTCCATCGCTCGTTATCCTTGTTTTAACTCAGACAATGTTTCCCTTTAATCAGCTCGTCGAGACACAAATTCTCCATTCTGCTTTTATGGATGATGATATCTTCTGCACAGACAGGAGCTGTACGCAGGACATAATCATTCCAAAATTTAGCCAAGTTTGCCCAGATCGGTCACCCGGAAAATATGTTCGCAGCCTGCACACCACATCCACCGTACCGCTCGCCACGGCTGTGGCTGCTCGTCACGCGCCACCAGCCCCACTCTACCAAGCGACCCGGAAAACGTTCGGCGAAAAATTAAGCCCTGGGCCGTAGATAATTAAAGCAATTCCGTAAGTGACAAAATGGGGAGAGCTTAAGCTACATACGCTGCACCTGGAAACCAGGAGGAGGAGAGTGTGGCTATAAGTCCCACGGAAAAGAAATATCAGCCAAAGCAACAACAAAAAATGCGTTGTTGTTGTTGTTGTCGAGTGTAGTAATACCTTCACTTGGTCCAGAATCACCAGAGGGCCGTTGACTCCTGACACCGTCTTGTACGCTACGGGTGTGTGTGTGGGGTGGGGTAGGGGGGAGGAAACACAAAGAGGGCAGTGAGAAAGGTTAATGTACTACTGCAGGGTACTCGTGGTGGGGGCAGTGCCGCACGTGACGCGTATTGCACACGACAAGTGTGGCGCGCCGCTTCTGTCAAAGGTCATCAAGTGCCCAGCTGCTCAGAGCAAATTGGGGGAAAGCACATCTGCAGAGGCCTCGGCATCTCCCGCTAAGGTGCCTTGCACACTTCCCACTTAGTCCGGGCCAGAACCTGCTGAGGCGGAGAAATTCAATTAAACAACTTCAAGTTCTAATCCTAATCAGCAACCCCCCCCCCCCCCCACCAGCTGTGACGATCAATGCATTTGACACAGGGGCCGTGAGATGTGATGTTTGAAGCTGTGCTGCTTGGCTGAAGAGCAGTCATAAAAATCAATGTTTCCTTATAAATGTCAATGGCTGTGACTTCTGCTCGCCCGGACTTAATTTTCGAAGTTTTTCTTTTTTTCGAGCAGCGCGTCCGCGATCGCGACGCGCGTGCGGCGGCGACGATATATCCGCTCGCCGTTGGCGACAGAGCGACCTCTTAAGCAGGTGACGGGATAATTTCAACAACAGCCCGATAAAACAAAAAAAAATCCGATTAGCGTGAGAATATGCGCCCGTTGCTTAATTAATCCATTAACTATTCCCGCATTGGCTGCACATTCAACATCGCACGGTGCGTTGCTGATTTTGTTTGGCCTAATCATATTCATGACCGCGCATTCGCATGCACGCTCACGCACTTTGGGGCTCGTCGTTGTTTGGCTCAATCGCATTAAAGCGCTCAACACAATTTGCGGTGGTGCCAAAGCTTCCACGGCGTGGCAAGAGGCATCGTTCTTTCATCCCATCGGCCTTCGGCCGCCCGCCCGCCCGCCCGCCCGCCCGCCCGCCGGACGACGGCTCCGAAGGAGGGCGTCCCACCTCTCCGCGCGACCGCAGGGCCGTCGTCACCAACCGCTCGGGCACATTTCGGGGGCTTCCAAATCCGCTGGCATTGTCGTCATCGTAGCCGTCGACGCCCTCGCTCAACCTGCGCGGCTCAAGCGCGGAATCTCCAAGACCATCGGAAGCGATTAGGCCGATAAGAGGGAGCGGTCGAATAATGAGCGGCCGCTCGGCGGTTCGCGTGTGGTCAACTCGGCAGGCACGAGGTGTCGAAGAGGAGGCGAATTCGTAATCTCGCCTTCGGGAATTAGCCGCTCCCTTTCAGCCCGTTCCCAGTGGTAACTCCCATTCAGAAAATCCACAATGATCTGAGTGACAAAGAGGCCTGAAAGGCAAGGAAAACACACAGGAAGTAAACACCCTCCTGCGCTGAAAACCCCATCCATCTGGTAAGTAATTAGCCACAAGCCAAACAGCTCCACCCCCTCCAGCTCCGCTTGCGAGCAGCTCATGTGTGGGCCGGACCACACATTCACAGGAGCCGTGAACAAAAGACACCCCCATTTTTGTTTTACCGTCACAATCGCTCCCCTTTAGCCGAGCGTGGAATTCCGATCCAGAACCGCAACAGCTCGGCATGGTCAATGCTCAATGGCCATCCCCCCTTGCCCTCAGGAATAGTTTAGGGCGTTTTTTTTTTACAACTCCCGTACTCCGCGAGATGTTCCCGAGCCACCCCCCCCCCCCAAACCGCCCCCCCCCAACCAACTCGTCAAACCCCCTACCCCGACATCCCAACCCTCCCAGCTACGCGCCCCCCTCACGCCCACATGACACCCCCCCCCGCACCATGTCCCCGTCCGCCACCGCAAGCAAATTATCAAATCAATTAGCAAACGAGGCCAGGACAACACGGAGGGCAATGGGGGAGAAGATAATGAGGTCGGTGTCAGTCTCACCCGTAGCCCTGCTAAAGAATACCCCTCTCAGGGGGAGCCGAGGAGCATTTAAAGGATTAGCCGGCCCCCGACTCCACATTGCGCTCGCAACAAGATGCATTCAGCAGCCGGGCCGTGGGACCTGCCACTGACGCACAATTAGTCAGATTCGCCGAGAAAACGCCCCCGCATCCCATTGTGTCGCCGGTGGGGGGGTCACGCCAAACGGGGACTCCATGGGATTCTTTTTCCTCCTCCTCCTCCTTCTTCTTCTACTAACGCCCGCGACTAAAAGGATTTGTCCGTGTCATGCTCCTTTAAGCCGGTCCGCCTGAAGGACACACAAGCACTCCGTGGCTCGCGCTCCTTGTGTAACGACAAGAAGGTAGAATATAGAAGGAGGAGGGAGGGAGTGGTGGTGGTGGTGGTGGGTCGGGAGGACCCATCGCTCAGGAGAACTTTCTGAAAACAAATATTGACACTGCTAACGCCACCAGCCGCCACCGCCGCCCGGCGTGAAGATGAGGCGGGGACAGCTGTGTAAGTGGCCTGCCACCACAAGGGCGATTATGAACGCTGTGAGCGACAATCGTGGGTTTGGCCCCTGTGTCGAAAATAAATGGGGTTAACCGCGTTCTGCAGTTTTTTGTTGTTTTTCCTTCACTCTCGGGATCGCGATATACCCAATTCTATAGGCAGAGCATCGCCAATTAAGCAGGCACCTCTGCCCCACCCATTGAAAATACGAATTTAGTGGTTATTACTTATTTAAAACGATGGCTCAATTGGAATCGCTGCAAGCAGTAAAAATCCCGTGGCATTCTGATCAGTGAACCACTTAGGCCCGAGTACTTGTTACGGCAGTTATTGAAAACACAAGCAGATAGGTCGTTATTCTGTCAAAATTTAAATGGCCTTTTGTGTTCACTGCAGCTCTGTCTACAAGATCCACACGTTTCGTTTGTCGCGAAGCTATCGTCTATCAATGTCAATCGCTTCCTGGGATTGTTCGACAATAGCGATATTTACTCTTAAAGCGCATCAGTTTGTGAGACACACGTGCAGCGTTTATACAAAGTGAATCAAATAAATGTGCAATATGGGATAATTTGTCTTTTGTTCTGGTGAACTACCCACGTTTAAAGATATTGCAAGCGCGCAGGACGGTGTTTAAGTCTGACAATCTTAAGATTGTCCCGATTGAAATGTATTCCTGATTTTTTTTAATTAGTAGTGTTTTCCGTGTTGTGTTTTCACAGTAGAATGTGTGTTCCGTTTTGCTCGGCTTCTCAGAGGGGCTCTTTACAGCTCCATTTTTGCCAGTAACGCAAATTACGAACAACACTGAGCTATAACCCGCAAACACATCAGGTCGCTGCTTTTTCTAAAACAAATAAAAACATGAAAACTCTACTTAAAAAATCCAGCAATTCGGCAATGCAGGTTTCTCGTCTGAACGAGTCTCTCTATAAACCGCAACACTAGCCTCAAGGTTATTTGTTAGCATCGAGCACCAACCCAAGTCCAAACCGGTGGAGGCTGTGGCCAAACTGGAGTGGGATGGCTTTTTGACAAGCGGGATCCTGAATGAAGTCCTCTGCAGTGCTGGTGTTGAATGCGCGCCCTGCCACTGTGTTGTCAAAGCACGGCCTGGATTTCTATCTCGTTTATACAAAACAAGGGAGACCAATCGTGGCAGTACGCCAGGCATGTGTAGTACTCAACTAAAACTAAACTATATTTAACAGGTAAAGCCCGCCGTGCTATTAGATCTTTTTTCAGAGGTGACGTGGCGACACATGATAACTCATCGAGGCGGCTTATACCATACGTGGGAATTTATAGTCGCAGCCAAATCATCGAAATGCGAGCTTCTAAATGTGGAAGGTAAAACCGGAGGGCCCGGAGAACAAGCCACACGACCCCTGCGGGGGAGAGAGAATACGGCAAACTTAAAATGAACAGGCGTCAAGGTCGGGATCGAACCCATGACCTCCTGCGTCCTACCATTCGAGGGAAATAACATCTTTCCACAGGGGCGCCCCTGGTAGCAAGACGGCCTGTGAAGGCAAGGCGTATGTAACGGGGGGGGGGGGGGGGGGGGTGATTTCATCAGCGGACCAAGTGCAATTTGCGAGGGCCATGGTCCTAGCGGTAAAGTTGGCGATGTTGTTGGAGGTGCAGCAATAAGGTGGTAATGATCGGTGTGGTGGTGATGTGGTTGTGGCAGTGCTGGTGGTGACAATTGTGACAATGTTGGTGATGGTTGCGGTGGTAACATCAGTGTGGTAACATCATTGTGGTAACATCAGTGTGGGGAAAGGAAGTGTAGCGGTTGGTGCACTGTGCTACTAACCCGACGGCCCGAGTTCGATTCCCACTCACGGCCAACACCAGTCACGAATATCTGAACTGGTCCAGGGCCTCCCCTAGGTCGACTCAGCCTCAAATAAATACCTCGTGCGCCGTGTAAACATCGCCACTGGGGAGACAAAGGCGGTTCGGCATGGTGCTGGCCACCCACCCTCTCGTGAGCTATGCCAGGCATTCTAGGTGCTACTCGCTAACAGCACTTGCCTCAACAGTCTGTTAAGGCTATACGGTGGGGGGGGGGGATCTTTGTCTTTCATCTTCTTGGTTCTTTCGGTAAAGTCACGTAGAAGGGAAATAATAAACTAATAAAAATAAAACATAATAAAATAATTCTCACGACGTTTCGGCCACAACGCAAGCAGCCGTCCTCAGGTGAAGAACAGGTCTGTCAGAAAGACAGCGTCTGCGTCCTGCGTCCTACCATTCTGACAGACCTGTTCTTCACCTGAGGACGGCTGCTTGCGTTGTGGCCGAAACGTCGTGAGAATAATTTTATGAAGTTTTATTTTTATTATTTTATTATTTCCATTCTACGTGACTTTACCGAAAGAACCAAGATGAAGAATCCCTGCAGTCACGAAAGCTTTAAATCGAAATCTTTGTCTTTGTTAACAATTGTGGTGGTGGTGGTGGTGGTATAAGTAGCAGTGCTGGCGATGCCTGTGGTGGCGTGCTCGCGGTGCGCTCGTCTAGAGGCGGTTGGCCACGTGCTCGATTCGCCCATGGCTGGAGCAAACTGCGCCCGGTGTGTTTTCAACGA